CTCAGTTGGACTTAAATCAGAAGTGTCAGCCAGTAAGAAAGATAGAGAATGTTTGTAATATCATCATGATATCTAACAACTTCAACTCAGTAAAGATTGACAAAGACGACAGAAGATTTGTTGTCATTGACGTAAGCAGCAGATACAAAGGAAATTACGAATATTTCTCAAATCTCATTGAAAGCTTTAATGAAGAGTTTTATTCAAACTTACTGACGTACTTCATGAAGAAAGATTTAAGTGAATTTGATGTAAGGAAGATACCATTCACCAGGGCTAAACAAGAACTCATCGAAATGAACAAAACACCTTACCAAATGTTTTACGAGGAGTTCTATGAAATGTTTGTATCCGGATGGAATTGTACAGAGTGCTACAGAAGATATAAAGAATTTGCGAAGGAGAATGAATTCTTTGCATGTAGTTCAAATGTATTTGGTGGCAAGATGAGAGAATTTGTGAAGAGAAGTAGAAAGCGAGACGGTTCTGCACGAAGTTATATTTATGAAGCAAGTATGATATTAGAAGGTCGTGGAAAGAAAGAAACAGTGAATTATGAGGAAGTGCTTGAAAAATTCATGGAGTACATGGGAAGCAATATAACATACAACAAAGACATATACAGTGAGTTTAAGTACTACTGTGAACAGCATGAGATTGAAGTAATGAGTAAAGGAGACTTTGAAACGCTTATGAAAGACAGTGAGGAGGTCATACATGAATGCAATGATGAAATAGTTCATGAGAACAGTGAGGAGGTCATACATGAGAACAGTGTTGAAATAGTTCACGAGAACAGTGAAGAGGTCATACATGAATGCAATGATGAAATAGTTCATGAGAACAGTGAGGAGGTCATACATGAATGCAATGATGAAATAGTTTATGAGAACAGTGAGGAGGTCATACATGAGAACAGTGTTGAAATAGTTCACGAGAACAGTGAGGAGGTCATACATGAATGCAATGATGAAATAGTTCATGAGAACAGTGTTGAAATAGTTCATGAGAACAGTGAGGAGGTCATACATGAGAACAGTGATGAAATAGTTCATGAGAACAGTGTTGAAATAGTTCATGAGAACAGTGAGAAGGTCATTGCAACAAAGAATGAGATAAAGGATTTCATAGAACTTAACAAGGAGGAGTTTAAAGAAGGCTATGAAGTGAAAAGATGTGAAGAAGATTTCTTGGCGTATTTGAAGAAAAAGAGACTAAAGCCAATGGCTCAAAATAAGTTTCAATCGATGTTTGAAAAGAAACGTTTGAGCTATGGTGGTGTAAGAAGCACATATTACTTTGTTAAGAAGTGAGGACATTTATTTTTGTCGTTAGTGTTGGAGTTTGTGTTTGTTGTTAGTGTTTGTCATTTGTGCTGAGGTTAGTACTTGTCGTTAGTGTTGGAGTTTGTGGTTGTTGTTAGTGTTTGTCATTTGTGTTGAGGTTAGTACTTGTCGTTAGTGTTGGAGTTTGTGGTTGTTGTTAGTGTTTGTCATTTGTGTTGAGGTTAGTACTTGTCGTTAGTGTTGGAGTTTGTGGTTGTTGTTAGTGTTTGTCATTTGTGTTGAGGTTAGTACTTGTCGTTAGTGTTGGAGTTTGTGGTTGTTGTTAGTGAGAGAATAAATTAAATCATGAACTTTGCCATGGTCTCTGTCCCTAGTAGTTTTCATTAAGTTCTGGAAATAATGAAAGTCATAAACTTTGCCATGGTCTCTGTCCCTAGTAGTTTTCATTATCTCACAGAGTTAATGAAAGTCATACTTTCTATCAGATGAAGCATGCAGATGAACATAATGAAAGTTAGTGAGTTTGCCACGAGTTATGAATAAAATATTGGCATATTAGATGAGATAGCTGATGAAACAGATGAAGATAAATTAAATCTTGGACTTTGCCACACTCTGTCCCTAGTTCCTCAAAATCCTTGACAACGTTGCTTAGAAATTTTGGTTCAAAACCTCATCTGATTTTAATCTGTTATGCTACCTGTTAAGTTTCGCGAGATTATAAATGTCATGGAGTTATATAAAAAGGAGGGACAGCTAGGGACACTGAAGAATATGAACTATTGTGTGAAGCACAGCAATGGGAAGAGTTGCAATACTTTTGTAAATGAGAACCTTAGTGTGAACGTTAGTGACAACGTTAGTGAGAACGTTAGTGAGAACGTTTATTTTTTCATGCACGTGCATTGTGTCGTGGGGAGTTGCCATGGGCAATGACCTGCGCACAATATATAACGTACAGAGAGGTGAGATGAGGTGGTTTATGTGATAAATACTTTACGTGGCAGAAATAGTTTAAGGTTATTAGAAATATTGCATCTGTGATGTAAAATATACGTTAGTGGTTTTGTAAAGTGTCAGATTGACATATCTTTGGTAAGATGGCGCGCAGTGCCACCGTACTGAAGATATGTATACTAACTGTCGTTGAAAACTTCAACTGTCTTATGAGAAGCTGAGAACTTTGTAAAATCTTTTGAGATATTTTTTGATACATGACCTGGATCGAATCTTTCAAGATGAGAGACGCCAAATTCTTTAAAGACAGAGACACTTTTGTTATCTCGGTCTTTAATAATCTCTTTAACATCTTTCAAGATATTGTATTTCTTTAATTGCTTCAAGATGATTCGAGTTCCAGCACTTTCCATATTGTTGGAAGCTCCGGAATACTGAGCATGCTGTCTGTTTCCACCAATATGGTTGATGTTCACGCATGCAAGAACTCTTTTTGTGACAGCATCGAGCGCAGTTACTGTACAACTTGGCGAGTTTCGCCTGTGTGTCCATCTTGCATCAATGGATAAGTAACCACTGAAGGACTTTCTCGACAGCATTAGGGAAATACTTTTAAGTCTTCTAATCTTATCGTCACAAAATCTCTGTTGTCTCATGACACCACTCTTCACAGGGGGCTTAGTTCCACAAAGAGAAAGAAAGCGAGCACCTTTTGTATATGGCATTCCGGTCATTATGCAAGCACCAAGCATCTGTCGCGCTGAGAGTCGACGACGTTCGTGGAGTAAAATGTTATGCATTGCCTTTGTTTTCCGTTTTGGGTGAACAATATGGCCCATACAACAACAAAAAAATGAAATCCCGCCAAAAGTGAAAATTGAATAAAAAGTAATAATTAATAAATATATACTATATCATTAGATGAATATTTTGGAATAACATTTTAAAATCGAGGTTTTTCAATGGATAACGGTTCAATCAAAAATTTGACCCCATTTTAGAATCTACATTAAAAATGGAACATTTCTGTCGTTTCAAAATCCCAAAATAACGTTTCTATTCCTCTTCAAAAGTAAAAATAAACTTTATTGGGGAAAAAAATATTTTTATTTCCAAAAAAAAAATGAAAAGCTTAAATGCAAATCTAATTTTGATGCTTTTGTTTTGATTTTTTGGATTTCGAAAAAAATTTGAAAATTCAGACAAGTTACCATTAACACTAATACGTTTCAGCGAGTCGGTCCCATCAGAGAAATTTTCATAAATCGGCGATAAAATTTATTATTCAGCAAAATATTCTCAGATCCAACTAGAATAAGGTCAAATTATACAAATTTAGCAAAGGCTAGTTATCCTACCTATTCAAAACTTTAATTTTAAAAATTCAAGACAATTCTCAAAATTACCTAATAATCGCGTTCTCTTCGCAAAATGACGATTCATCATTCACTACCAGCATAACTGAGGGCTTGTGCTCACAGAATAATACAGATAATTTACTTATTAATGCAAAATTTAGTACCAAAAGGTAATCATAGAAGATACAAAAAAAGTTTCTTTATTTTGATTGCTGATTTTATTCTTCTAAAATTTACCAAATCTAAAAAATCCAAAATTGAATGCTATTGAATTTCATGTTTATGTAACATATACTATTTATTATATAAGGAATAAAAATTTTATAGTTTTAATCAAAATAAAGGTGTACTAAATGCATACAAAACAAGGTATTTTTACTCATCCAAAATATGTTAACAGTGCTATTTATATAATCAATATCCGAATTTCGAAATCATTTTGATGAAATCTTTATTTTAAAATTGAGTTGACTGTTAAAATCACCCGAGAAGAGGGATTATCTCAATGAAAAGTACATAAAATAGCAAACGCACAAGATGGCACTATGCAGCTTTATATTGTTATACAGGATGAACATATAAAATGTTTGGAAAACACTTACTTCGTTCTACAAATGTGTATCTCTTTATATCAAAGATTCTTCTCAAATTATTGAGAGACTTCTCTCAAAAAAAGGAAAATTTGATAACTAAAAAAAATTATGGCATAACCTCTCGTTTTGCATAGATATATATTTACATGGTCACAGAGCTTATTTTCATTGTCAAAACTTAAAAATTTTTAGTGGACTATACCCTTAAATCTTGATTTATTCAAAAACGTAAGAATAAAAACCGTAAGAATCATACATTTTTTACTTCATATGTTAAAAAAAATGATACAAAATCGTTCAATATTGTATGAATTCTTACGTTTACAAAAAAAGTCACACAACCCATCAACATATACTACTGCCGTTTCACGCTGAAATGTTTCTGTTTATTTTGTATCGTTGATTAAACTTTAATTATTCTATCTAAAGCAGATTTCTCAATTGCTAAATTAATAATTATTGTGATTCCTATAATAGAAATCGTGATTCCCATAATAGAAATTAGTAAAAGTTTTTTATGGTTTGATTCTATATCAAAAATTCTGAATTAATTGTCAGTTTTACAGATGGATAAATAAATAAATTTAAATCGGTGTGATCGGTATTATAAGTTGATGTTTTTTATGTTATAAAGTTTTGAGTGAAAGTTTTTCTGGAAAAAATTTTATATATAAATATATCTGTATATTGTAATTTGTTAATTAGTTATCAATTGAAAATGATTTCGGTTTTGACAATTTTTTTTCATGTTTTTCTTTCTTTGTTTAAATCAAGCTATTGTTGATGATATTTTTACCCCGCGTAGCATGGATTCTCAAGCAAATCCGATTTCATCCACTCCCAAGCAAAATCAAGCCACAACGGAGATAAATTCAGAAAATAAAATTTCCGTCGAAAATTTGAAACCACTTAAACTTATTAATACTGGCTTTAAGTTACGCACAGACAAGCCTCTCTTCAGACACTTCTCTCCCAAAGACACAATGGCGTATGATGATCGTCTTCAACAAAGAACAGTTTTTACTAATACCAAAAACAGACCCTCTATCGCAGGTAAACGTCCTCAACCTCGTTCTGTTTTAAGAGTTTTACCAGTTGAAAAACAAGAATCTGAAATAAACCAAGAAGAGTCACCATATTGCATTGGATGTGGTATGTATCTACAAAAAGAAGAAGTTAAACCATTAGCTTCATTCACACCAAACATGGTTAACCTTGCTGATTATCTGGAAAAGTGCAAAGATCAAAGATTCTCTGAAAAATATCCATCTTTATGCAAAGAAATTGATACTTTAGAATCAAACTTTGATTTGTGGAAATACTTCACTCCAAAAACAAAAACATTTGCAGCACCTTCACGTCGTCGCTACGAAGATTCTTATTCTTATTCATATTTTGTTAACAGTCAGGAAGAATCACAAACAAACGAAGTCTTAGATAAAGAAATATGTCCATGGTGCGGCTTTACATCACCAAAAGATCAAGCTAATTCTTATTTTGTTAAAAGTCAGGAAGAATCACAAACAAGCAAACAAACATTACAACCCCCATATACCAACATTGAACAGACAACTCAAAAAGACACTGCACCATCAAAAGATCAACTTTTACTTGAAGAACAAACAGAAAAAACAGAAGAGCTAGTTGATTACCCAAGTCAACTAACGTGCACCAATGCATCGGATTGTGCTGGTTTGCTTGGACAAGGATCAGCCTTCTATTCCCCTGGTCGTCCAAAAGATTCGAAACTTTATAAATCTTTAGATACAGGTGATCATTCACAAACAGGAAAACATTCTGAAAAGCATCAACGTATGAAATTCATTTCAGATACCAACAGTGAACATTCAACTCCAAATTCAGATGGAACAATTTGTCCATGGTGTGGCATTATATCACAAAAAGAACAAAATGCCAGAGCAACTATTCCAAAGTTATCACGTCCTAGTTTAAGAACTAATGATTTGTCTTCTTATGCAAAAAATTGCAAAAACTTAACATTCTATCTACAACATGTTCAACAATGCAATTCATTAGGCATTTTTGGTCCGGATAAAGCCAAATTTGAAGATGATTCCAAATCCATGAAGAAATCCCATAAAGAATCTGATATAGATGTTCATTCACCAGAAGAAAACTTTTGGTCGCTATTTTTCCCACCTAAAGCACACGCAGACGAACTTCACAATTCTAAATCTAACAGTTTCAGTACACTTGGAGATAAGTGCAAAGACCCAACTTTCTATAAAGAACATACTTATCTATGCATGTCATTAGGCTATTTCATTCCTACTAAAGTCCATGCCGCAGGTAAGCGCCGTCCAGGATTAGATGTTCTTAATGGTCAAGAAAAGAAACCTCTTCAACTTGTTGATACCGGTGTTCGTTTACCAGAAGAAAACAGTTTATGGAAGGAATTTGATCCAGATGATGTATCCGCTCACTATCCACGTATTCGTCATGCTGATATTTATGATGTTAATGGTCAAGAAAAGAAACCTCTTAAAGTTTCTGATACAGGTGTTCGTTTACCAGAAAAAAACTTTTGGTGGCTATTTAACCCACCTAAAGCACACGCAGACGAACTTCACAATTCTAAACAAACTGTTCCAAAGAGACCTCGTGTTTTGCCAAGAGTTTTACCAGTCGAAAGACAAGAGTCTGAAACAAACCAAGAAGAACCACCATATTGCATTGGATGTGGTATGTATCTACAAAAAGAACAAAACAAAGAATCATATTCATTCGAACCAAACATGGTTAACTTCATTGAATATTCAGAAAAGTGCAAAGATCAAACATTCTCTGAAGAATATCCATCCTTATGCAAAGTAGTTAAATCAGCCTGATAAAGATTCTGATGCAGAACAAAACTTTTGGTGACTATTTATTTTTAGAATAATAAAGCGGAAATGTTTTTTTGGTTAAGGATACCCTTACGTGTCAGATTTTTTGCGCATACGAAGAAGTCATGCTAGACATGAGCTATAAACCTGAAATTTTAGCAACATATTTAAAACTTTTTAAACTACAATACACTTTAATATTCAAGAACAAAAATATTCTTTTTAGAAATTACATAATTATTTTATGTGAAATCTATATAAAAACATATTTTGCGAGCGTAACTTTTTTCTTTATAAGCACCTTATATGACTGATAAACTGTGAAGGCACATAATTGTTAATTCATAGAGTTGATATGTTTCCAAAATTGAGAGGAAATTTGAAAATTGAATACCCTTTCAATTCAATTTTCAAAAGATATCAGCTCCTTCAATAATTGAAGGACGATTTTGATCATTTGCTCTTAAAACAAGTATGCCATGGAGAAAAAAGTTACGCTCGCAAATCTGAAATATAACTATCATATAAAAAAATTAAATTTCTAATTTTTACTCTATAGATATTATTGGCCACTTGTGTAATGCATAAAAGTTTATGTCATATGCATACATTTGGAAGTATGGGAGACGAGGGAAATTACTTCTATGAGGCACTAGGATTTTTAAAAATTTCTCTATCGGACTCACTATTCAATTTCTCGAAAATTAAAAAAAATCAATAATAGCTAAAATGTATTATGCATAACAAATTTTAATGTTACACGGTATTTTTTGAACTTCATGACATGAATTTTCTTTATATATTTTTTTTTTTTTTGGATTTTCTATGATTTATGCGATAGGCTGGAACAACATTGTAAGTGCAATGATATCATTTATAGAGAAATCTAAAACTTCAGCATTCAGAACTCGCAACCACAAAAATATTCATTTGCTAAGTAAGTAAAGTTGATTAAGTTCGACACTTAGCTTTTATACGTAAAACCAAGTGTGTATTGTTATTTCTTGTTAAATTATTGAGAAAAAAATAAATTGTAAGAGAAACGATACTGATTATTGAAATAATATTGAGGGTAGCTGCAGATTTCTTCATTAACATGCCGGAAATTTGTTAATCTTGGTTTTCTATCATAAAATCTGTCGAAGAATCTAAAAACGGAGATATGAAATAGAGATCATGTAAATCTAGAGTATCCTGTCAGAAAAATAGACTAAGCATGTAACCCTTTTTTGGTCATAAACACTTTTTACCACTTAGTCATACAGATGATCATTAAATTTAAACGAGCACTTTTTGTCAGAATAGATTCTTTTACAAAGACAGAAGATTTTAGTATTATTTAATATTAGTGCTGTAGCAAAATTCAAAAAACGGTGAAAATTCAGTGAATTTGTGAATTCACATTTTTTTTCGACATTTTTCTTGATATATCCATGCACATTAAGAACATAGCTTTGATACGCTTAAAAAAGCATATTTCATATGAAATTGTTAAAGAAATAAACAATTTATATAAAAATTGCACTTATGGGCAGTTTAGATATATAATTTATATATAACATATATACAAATCCATAGACAAAGTGCAATAACTACAATGTTGTAGAAAATTACAGCAGAAATACTGACTTTTTGAAGGATAATAAGAATTCTTCTAAATGTTGTATTTTTATAATTTGATTGATTTTTTTTACTATTTCATTAATCTTTTATGAATAATAATTATTTTTAATATATGTGCTATTAAAATTTCAAATTTTGACTAATATATCTAAGTTATCTGAACGAAACATTTAGAAAATATCATACTTACATTGAAATAGCAAGTAGAGCATATTAATAGCAAGTTTCTTGGCTTTATATCTATCATCTATTGTTGTTTGATCAAACAAAATTCACTCTATTATATGGTGTCAATTAATTAAAACAATTTTTAATAGTTATTTATTTAGTGCGAATAAGTGCAAACTCATAAATGAATAACTTAATAGTAGAAATGAATTATCTGATATAAATCTCACATTTTGTCCATCAGAAATACTTTAATTGCATACGCATAACTATTAGTAATACGTCTGGAGTGTCAATTAATAACAATCCCACAACAAGTAAAATTCAGATTTTTATTAAACTTATTTTTTCCTAAAAGTTTTCTCAAATTACTATATATACATATGTGGATAAAATAATAGTAATATTGTAAAAAATTAGATAATTTTTTTATTTGAGAACCTCTCAAAAGTTCATTCAATTTATCAATTGTTTCAGTTTGATGTATATTCATTTCTGGAGCCTAAAACTTTAGCAATCATGACAATATCATATTCTCTTTCTAACTACGCAATGTAAGGGTATCCTTAATGTTTATTTTTAGAAAATAAATTATGGCAATTTGAGTAAATATATAAAGATTTTTAATATAACATCACACAATAAACAGTTAAAGCAACAGTTCCTAATGAACCAAAGAAGAAAGTTGTTATGCGAGTTACTGATTTCAAAATTATAAAAAATATGAAAAAAAAAACTCAAAATTACGTAATGGAACTTGTCGTTTCTCATTATTCATACGCATAATGACTGTAAACAATTCTGTATACAAAGTAACAAATAATTTCTTTTCGAATTTAATTTTAAGTGTGAAACTTGAAAGTAACAAGAAAGTATTTGGTAATGTTTTAAATTGTGAACATACTGAGTTGAATAAAAAGGAGAAATAGTTATTATGATCTGATTTTTTCGAGAACAATTGTCAGATCATTTTTCAGATGGAATAATAAATTTTAATGAAAATGATATTATCACAATGTGTTAACCAGAAATGTCTTTAAATATATAATTCTCAAAATAATTGTTTTGATATAAACCGCAAAAATTGTTAAATCAATTTTGAGACTTAATTTTTTAAGTAAAACTTATGGAGAACTTTTTTGATATAGTAATGTTTATAATTCTTTGTTTAAATCGGCCTTTGATTGACAAAATTCCTGCACCATTGCAGAAGATTTCGGTCACGCCGAAGCAAAATCAACAAAAAATGGAAGTCGTTAATAAAAATTTAAATTCTGTCGAAAATTTGAAACCGCTTAAACTTATTGATACGGGTGTTCGCTTGCCTGCAGAAAATAACGCCAAGGATTTCTTTGGATACCATTTTGGCGATTCAAAAGCATATTTCGATGAATATCACAGAAATTCAAGATTCCTTTCTAATACCAATAATCAACCATCACCTTCAGGATCAGAATCGTCTGTATTAAAGCCAAGGGGTCCAATTAGACCTCGTGTTCTAGTCAGACACAGTTCACAACATTCAAGCGATCATTCACCTACAGAAAATAACATCAAAGATGATATTTTCCAATTTTTTGCCCCTGTAACAACCTTCACTTATGGTGTTCGCAATTCGAAATCAACTCCTGACACCATAAATGAACATACAACTCCAGTTCCAAAAAGAGGTGAAGATGGATATGCATTGTTTAGTCAGGAAAAGCCAAAAGGTCTATACAAATCAAACATGGTCAACCTCGTTGAATATAGCGAAAAATGCAAAGATCAATCATTCTCAGAACAATATCCATCATTATGCAAAGAAGTTAATAGCTTAGAAGCAAACTTTGATTGGTGGAGCGTTTTCGGTCCTTTCAAGACTTCAGGTACGTATGTCCGTCCTTTCAAGACTTCGTTTATCAACAATAATCAACAAGAATTTCCATCAACAGAAGAAATGGATTCAACAGATGCATACACAGACGATCTTCGCAATTCTAAATCCAGTCCAAACTCAGATGATCCATCTTGTCCATGGTGTGGCCAAGTTAAGGCTCTAAAACCTGTTAAGATCAATTCACGGTTATCTAAAGCGCAAACAGGATATAAGCAAAGTGATAAAATTGTGGATCTACCAGAAGAATGCAAGAAAGATCCTTCTAAATGCAATATTTCTCACTATATATACTCAACGCATTTTGGGCAGGGTGGAACTTTAAAAGGCGGTTTAGTTTACGAAAAATATTTAAATTCAGATACAAATGACTTGTGGGACTTCCAACGCATTCCTGGTTCTGCTGATGGTTTTCCTCATTCCAGATATATGATTGATGTTAATGGTCAAAAAGAATTACCATCAACAGAAAAAAGATTGAAACCTCTTAAACTTGCAGATACAAGTGTTCAATTACATGAAACATACACTGATAGTATCAAGAATTCCAGACCTGCGATTCCAAAGAGACCTCTAAATTCCCAATCTACATCGGGCAACGACAATGAAGAGATTTGCAAATTTATTCCTCCTGATGAATGTGAAAGAATTTTTGGACCAGGTTCCGCCAGCCCACGCTCCTTTGGAATTGATCAAGCAGCATATTCATCGAACGATAACCTAAATAAACCTGTTAAAGATTCTGATGCAGAAGAAAACTTTTGGTGGCTATTTAACCCGCCTAAAGCACACGCAGACGAACTTCACAATTCTAAACAAACTGTTCCAAAGAGACCTCGTGTTTTGCCAAGAGTTTTACCAGTCGAAAGACAAGAGTCTGAAACAAACCAAGAAGAACCACCATATTGCATTGGATGTGGTATGTATCTACAAAAAAACAAAAAAAGAAATCATATTCATTCGAACCAAACATGGTTAACTTCATTGAATATTCAGAAAAGTGCAAAGATCAAACATTCTCTGAAAAATATCCATCATTATGCAAAGAAATTGATATTTTAGAATCAAACTTTGATTTGTGGGAATTCTTTAAACCATTCAAGACTGCAGGCACTATTATCCGCCATTAAAAATAGCCTATAAGAAGACAAACAAGATACACCTAATTTTAACTAAAATTTAAAGCAGAAATAATAAATTATGAATCTTCGACATTTTTTAAAATTCAAAATTATTAAATATGTTAAACTGAGTAAAAATATAAAACAATCATATATATAGGATGAAGAATTTTTTTTAATTTGGTATCTCGAAACCAAACTGTTAATGCTGCTGTTCCAAATGCAACATAATTTCAAAATCTTGATCTAAGATTGTGATATTTAGAAAGTTTGGGAATATCATAACTCATGGATGTCTTACATTCTTCAAAATTATGAAAAATTATTGAAATTTTGTATTGAAACTTGCCGTTTCACGCTGAAATGTTTCTGTTTATTTTGTATCGTTGATTAAACTTTAATTATTCTATCTAAAGCAGATTTCTCAATTGCTAAATTAATAATTATTGTGATTCCTATAATAGAAATCGTGATTCCCATAATAGAAATTAGTAAAAGTTTTTTATGGTTTGATTCTATATCAAAAATTCTGAATTAATTGTCAGTTTTACAGATGGATAAATAAATAAATTTAAATCGGTGTGATCGGTATTATAAGTTGATGTTTTTTATGTTATAAAGTTTTGAGTGAAAGTTTTTCTGGAAAAAATTTTATATATAAATATATCTGTATATTGTAATTTGTTAATTAGTTATCAATTGAAAATGATTTCGGTTTTGACAATTTTTTTTCATGTTTTTCTTTCTTTGTTTAAATCAAGCTATTGTTGATGATATTTTTACCCCGCGTAGCATGGATTCTCAAGCAAATCCGATTTCATCCACTCCCAAGCAAAATCAAGCCACAACGGAGATAAATTCAGAAAATAAAATTTCCGTCGAAAATTTGAAACCACTTAAACTTATTAATACTGGCTTTAAGTTACGCACAGACAAGCCTCTCTTCAGACACTTCTCTCCCAAAGACACAATGGCGTATGATGATCGTCTTCAACAAAGAACAGTTTTTACTAATACCAAAAACAGACCCTCTATCGCAGGTAAACGTCCTCAACCTCGTTCTGTTTTAAGAGTTTTACCAGTTGAAAAACAAGAATCTGAAATAAACCAAGAAGAGTCACCATATTGCATTGGATGTGGTATGTATCTACAAAAAGAAGAAGTTAAACCATTAGCTTCATTCACACCAAACATGGTTAACCTTGCTGATTATCTGGAAAAGTGCCAAGATCAAAGATTCTCTGAAAAATATCCATCTTTATGCAAAGAAATTGATACTTTAGAATCAAACTTTGATTTGTGGAAATACTTCACTCCAAAAACAAAAACATCTGCAGCACCTTCACGTCGTTACAAAGATTCTTATTCATATTTTGTTAACAATCAGGAAGAATCACAAACAAACGAACAAACATTACAACCTCTTAAATCCACCCCATATACCAACAGAAAACAGTCAACTCCAAAGGGCATCTTATCTACAAAACAAACAGAAAAAACAGAAGAACCAGTCGATGACCCAAGTCAACTAACGTGCACCAATGCATCGGATTGTGCTGGTTTGCTTGGACAAGGATCAGCCTCCTATAGGCCTGACAAAAATTCAGATGGAACAATTTGTCCATGGTGTGGCACTATTTCACAAAAAGAACAAGTTGCACGTCCTAGTTTAAGAACAAATTATTTGTCTGGATATGCAGAAAAGTGCAAAAACAGAACATTCTATCTACAACATGTTCAACAATGCAAATCATTAGGCTTTTTCAAACCTCCCCTGTCATCATGGAAAGAGGATGACATAAATTATACAAGTCTTCCTTTCGCAGAGAAAAATGATTTATGGGGTGAATTTCAACCTCCTTCTATGGGTGCCACTGGTGGTCCTCATACTAAAGTTGATTTAAGTAACCCAGAGATGCTCAACCACGCTATAGAAAATGGTATATGCGATGGTCTAACTTATTTCGAGTGTCTTAAGAAACTTTTTGGTCCAGGCAAAGGCAGTCCAGTTAACGAACAAGCTACAAATAAAGAATCAGACTCAGAAGAAAACTTTTGGTCGCTATTTTTCCCACCTAAAGCACACGCAGACGAACTTCACAATTCTAAATCTAACAGTTTCAGTACACTTGGAGATAAGTGCAAAGACCCAACTTTCTATAAAGAACATACTTATCTATGCATGTCATTAGGCTATTTCATTCCTACTAAAGTCCATGCCGCAGTTAAGCGCCGTCCAGGATTAGATGTTCTTAATGGTCAAGAAAAGAAACCTCTTCAACTTGTTGATACCGGTGTTCGTTTACCAGAAAAAAATGATTTATCTGAAGAAGGCAAACAACCTCCAAAAGGATGCAATGGAATTTCAAATGAGGAAACCCTTCCATCATCCCAAGAGAACAAAAAACCGAAACTTGATAGACCAAAAATCGCTGACCGCAGTCAGAAAACAAATGCAGATTAAATATAGTAAATCTCATTCGTAATTTAATTAAAAAATTTTATTCACTTCGGAATTTTAAATTTTTTTTAATATCTAATTCGGAGCAACATTTTAAATATGTATGATTATATCATGATTCAGTTACTGATGAATTTCCTAATATTAATGCATCTAGGAAAAATTAAGAAACTATTGAAGAGAAAGATTAGTTGTATGACATTGGATATTGCACCATAATGGATACATCAAAACAAAAATCACATGCAAGGTCAAAGTCTAATAATTACTTTAAGTTTTATTACATGATTTTTAATTTTCCTGAATAAAGTGATTAAAAATCATTTTAATTTTGATTTTTCGTTTTTCAGTCTTATTTAAAATAATAGATCAAAGGTACATTCACTAGGCGATAACAGTAAAATGGGATGAAAATAGGATAAATAGCATCCCTATATAGTGCCTAACAATATTTATACGGGCCAAAAAAAATTTGGCTAGAGATTTGGCGAGTTATAAAACTTAGAAAATTGATAGGGGTTTTTATTTTTGAATTTTTTTTGGAAAGTTAAAATTGCGATTAAAAATCGATTTCCAGGAGAACTAAGCATCTCATCATATATTTAAATCGATAAAAATATTAAATAATAGTTGAATAGTATAACAACATGAAATTATGGCTGAATCTACAGAAAAAATGAACATATTTGACATTTTTGAAAATTCATACATTAGATGGTGACAGACTCATAAACTATACTTTAGCTAAGATTGATATATGGTTTCAACAACACATGGTTAAAATCGTAAAAATATTTTAGATTTCAAAAAGATATATATGGTAATATAATGGAACAAAGTCAACAAATAGCATGTTAAATATGTTATAATTAACTTTTTATTAGATCCAATAGTAGATATCGAATGGTTTCCAGCTTTATGGTTAAATATTTTCTTTTCGAGCTTCTCTTGAACTGTTGTATTAAGGTTGTAAATTTTTGATGCTAGAAACTATGGAATCTTCTTTGCTGCTGCATTTTTCTTGAGAGTTCTTGCAATTTCGAATAGATCTGCGCATTGTATGAAATGGAGGCTTTAAAATATCTTGAAAACAGAATAGGACTGCTTTTCCAAAGGAATGCTTACTTGTAAATCAGAGAGTTTCAAAATTGACAGCAAGATTATCATCATAACTTTCGATTTTGCTGCGAAAAAGGAAGACAAGTAATTAACAAATCATTTACTGTTGTTCATCAAAAGAAGAAAACTTTGATAACAACTAATGATGATAAAATCAAGCTATCTTTTAATATTTTAAATTGATAAGACATTCAAAATATTTGAATGGTTTAAAATATTTTCTTTTAATTTCTATAAGATATTATCATGATTATATAATAAAATTTAAATTTTTATTCAAAAAGGCAATATTTCAAACTTTTAATTTCAAAAATCTTAATTCTGCAATAAGTGTATTTAATTGTAGCAAATTTAATGATCCTTCGTCATGCTTAGCAATTTGGAACTCATAAATTAATGATTTCTTCAAGTAAAATTCTGCATTATTTCAAAAGTCAATAATTCTCTAGTAACTTTTCTTCAAACCCTAACCATTATATTATATGTATAATGGAGAATAATTGCAAAGAAAGATAGCCGAATTTACTGGGTAGTTCTTGTGATGCGAAATAATTGCAAATTAACACCTAGTTTTAACAGCATCAATCTCTTTTTGCTCTCATTTAAATGCATTCGCACACTTTAATTTTGAAATATAAGAGTTTTGGAAATTATCAAATTTATCTGCTCAAATACTATAGATCTTCATAAGTGTTAATAGAATCATTAGCCTTACATATAGTGTTTAATATAATGATGCACATTATACTGGGATTCATTCCTTATTCATCTAGTTATTATAAGATTTACAACCCCATGAAAATTTAAAATTTTGTCAAAAATAGTGAATGTACCTTTAATAGATCAAAGTATTTTACTTTAAGATTCAAAAAATTTGAAATTGTTAATGAGGATTTAAAAGTTAAGATAGGAAAATTTTATAGATGCACAATTGTGATATAAAATAGGAATATGAGGATGTAAAAACTAGTATAAAAATATCGATATAAAAAATACAAAATCCAGCTAATATCTTTTGGATATTAATGCTTGGGGTGATTTATCATAGCTTTGCAATACAAAGCTACTGTAAATTAAAGTATATAATTGTTTATACTGATAGAATAAAATCAAACATAATTCTAACGCCCGCGTATGATCCGAAGTTAAGAAGAATGCATAAAGCAGCAACTAAAACGTATTCGATCAAAGGTTTTTCATCAACATTATCTGTCGTTTGTTTTGAAAGCTTATGAAGTGAACCATTAGTTTGCAGGCCACTACAAGTTTGTTCACGTTTTTGATTTTGAAAAGCATCTTTTTTGTTGTCATTTTCATCTGTTACTGGATTTGATGGTTGAAAGAAGAAATTTGATTGAATAGCGCGTTTTTCCTTGTCATCTGGTTCTTTCTTGATCTGTGGAATGATGATGTCTTGGAATGCAATTAAGGCAATAATAAACATTCGTAGAGAAAAAATGTAAATTATCGTTCTATTGAATTTTGATTGAATAATGGCCTAAATTTTGAATTAAAATCTTTCTATCACTCATCTTCCAAATATACTCATAAAGCATAATAATAAGAAATAAATCTATTGAATATAAATAGAATTTTTTGATTGAAAAAAACGACTTCCCAATGGCTCATTTAAACTTAAAAAGCTTGAATTTGTGTTCATTGTATGTATTAATGGATGTTCTGTTTTATAACTAAGGGTTTCGTTTTGCTAAAATTGTCACTTTTATAGCATATTTGTTTTTGGATGTTTTGCGAAACCAAAAAAACTATGATATACAATGTGTGTGTAAAGAAAATACTTTATTTACTAGTTAAAAAATCATTTGGTATTGATCAAGTTATTTTTTCTGGATAAGATATTATATGGATAATTGGATAGAAAATACAATTATATAATCTTGTACCTGGTTTAATTAAGCTAATTGTCATCAGAAACTTGTAATTTTTATGAATTTCAGATTTTCTTTTCATTACTGCTTTTCTTAATAGGTCAAGTTCTTATTTACGTTATAAAGTATGATATTTACAAATATCAAGTTATCGTGTTTTTTGAGAAATTATGAGAAACAAACAAAAATGAAAAAGATAGGAATAGCAATGAATAGTGATGTGGGTATAGAAAATGTAAGAGATATGAATGCAAAGCAATCAGTATTTAGGACATTGACCATAGATTTCGAAAAAAAATGCTGCATATTGAGCGAAAACTATGATTATATTATAAGGCTGTCATTTAAAGCATAATGAAACTATTCCCTTTTCATTTTAATCAAATAAGATAGTAAAGATTTTTGAATTAGCTAGAAACTGATGAGATGTTTTCACAAATCAGATTTTTAATCTCTATAATGCATAATTCACTCAATATCTCAATTTTGATATTGCGAGATATTTTTGCTATCGGTTTCGCAATTTTGACACAATAGCAAGAGGGTTCTATAAGCATTATTATCAACGTAGAATCTGAATATCATATCAGAAAATGTCGCAAATCTGACATTTACCCGACCAAATAGCAAAAATAATTGAATACTTTTCGCGAAAACTTTAAAAATCGATAAAAATATGAAATATAGATATTAAAGAGACTTTTTATATAATATTCATAAAGATTTTCCAAAAATATGATAGCACAAAATTAAAAAAGTGACGTCTTGAGTGGAGTCAAAGGTCGAAATTGCTAGCTAAATGTTTTTTTAGCGAAATTGCGTATTGTACGTTTTTTTCGCAAAACGAAACCCTTATTATAACTATTGAAATTAATCGTTCCAATAAGATTTTTTCCCAAAACCGAAGATTTTTAAATCGATCAATTTTTTATGGGAAAATTCCTGCACTAACATCTTAAGTATGATGAACTTAATACAAATCCACTTGTTAAATCGAAATATTGGTTTCTTATTAAAATTTTACATATAACAGCATTTGGAGTGCTTCTAATAGTATGATGAGCTTAATGAAATGTATGAGATCATATAAGAATGGTTTTAACCACACTTCCTTATATGTTAAGGGAGGCTTCCGACCAGAAAGCCCTCTCAATTTTTTGTGATGTTTACACCAAAAGTGAGATTCGTTAAGCGTTTTTCTCGTTGAATATTGAGTTTCCCGGATTTTAAGTTATTCATAAAGCTTCTCTATATTATACCCTATCTACTGATATGATTATTTTTGAAAAATCTCTTAAATCGACCTGCACTGAATTTTTTAGGGAAAATTCGAAATTTTATAAGCGTTTTCTGTAACGTTTTTTTACGGAATAAAATCCGAAAAATAATTTTTTGAAGAATCATTTGGGTCGAATACTTATCGAAAATTATATTTATTATAATTTTGGTCGATAAAAATAAGCGGATTCAAAACTGGCAAAAACCCTTTCAGCAATTTGTGGACGATTCCGAACCCCCTCATTTTTGAAATTTAATAAGAAAAATAGAATCTTTATTAAATATAGATTTAAAAAAACTTGGTTATAAATTACGAAATTTTCTCACTTGGGCTAAAAAGTGACAATTTGGTCGGAAGCCACCCTTAACTGCTAAAATTACAAAATCTTCTTTCAGGAATGTGTAATTTATAATTAAAAAATATTTTAATAGCATTTTTTGCTTCAGGCAACACTTGAACCGTATTTTTCTAAAAATTATTAGAATCAGAACCGAATCATTAGAGACAAACTTGCCTAATAATAGTATATAACGAATGAATTATATGCCATATATATTTGTTCATCATTATTTTTGTCGAAGGATTTGCTCTAATCCTATGAATTTTTGTTCTATGCTGTTGATGCCTACTGTAGGTGCATCAGTGCATATTATTCAGAAATTCCTTTTTGAGTGTCAATCGAAAGGAATTGATGAAATAAAGAAGTTTCATAAACCATTTTACTTCACATGGCTAGGATCACTATCAATGTTTCTTGTTTTCGTATACTTATTCTTATCACATCCAATTTCTATGATTGCTAAGTTTAACAACAAACAATTTATCAAGCCTTTTTTATATTTAGCGATTGCAACATTTTTCAACTTATCGGCCGGAACACTAAGCAATGTATCATCACTCTACATCAATTATTCTGTTTCCCTCATGTTAAGAAGCTCAACTTTAATTTTTGGAGCCTTAATCACAACATATTATCTCAAAAAGCCTCTTAAACGGAATCAGAAATCAGGAGTATACTTAACGTTGCTTGCAATTGTCTTCGTTACGATATCTGCGATTTTAAGTGGGAGTAAATCAACGCATAAGTCTGCATCGAGTAAGGTTGTCGCCTTCTTTATCATACTCCGTATTCTTTCTAAGTCATTGCAAGCCATATCAATGATAATCGAAGAAAAAGTTATGAAATCCGTCGGAATTACGCCATCAGAGCTCGCAGGATTAAACGGTATCTGGTCTTTACTATTTTCTTCCTTCCTTTTACCGCTAGAAAACTGCAAAGATACTTGGAAAATGATAATTAACAGTTCAAGTGTGGTTTGGCTATCTATTTTATCTGTTTTAGTGTTCGGAATATGGACAATCCTTGGTCTTCAGATAACCAGTAAGGCTTCTGCTGTCTCTCGAATGGTTTTTGACCAATTAACAATTATTTTTGTTTGGATTGTCCAATTATCGATTTATTGGAGTGTCGTGAACACGAAATATGAAGAGAAATACCTCAAAACAGGTGAAGCGTGGACTCCTTATTCGTTTATTCAACTTTTTGGATTCGGAATTATGGTTTACGGCGCTTGTGTTTACCAGAACATTGGTGTTGCACCTTGTATGAAGGAAGATGTAACTAAACCTGGAGAAAGCTTACTTGAGTCAGATGATAACATTGCAATAAATGTCGAAGAAGATCCTGAGTTGAAGGTTTAATTTTTATTCCGTATTCAATAGAAATATTTAATAGAATTGTATAGTTTACACGGAAATATTATTGTATTGTTTTGTATTTGATAATAAATGTGTTTTTTATCAATTGGAATTGATCTTTAATACATTATTTGAAATTAGCACAAAAATTAGTAATATGCATTTCCGCTTCTCACTTGACTTCATGAAAATTCTTTTATTATTCAAGTTTTTAAATATATGTGTTTTATTGTGGATCTTTATATATGGTTATAGACTTATGTAATACTATTTGCTTATAAAAATATGTGAAAAAAATTGCATTTCATGTTATTTTATTTACATCCGTACTTTTTGAGAACTTTTATAGCTTCTTTGCAATGTTCTGCAGTCGCTACATCAAGCGGTGTTTTCTTGTGATTGTTCAACGCATTCTTCTCAATGTTAGGAAGTGACAAAAGGAATTCACATATTTTTGCGTTATTTGTACAAGCTGCTATGTGAAGAGGAGTCCATTGATCATTCTTTTTGCCATTAATATCAACATAATCAACAGACCAGATGACTCCTTCGAGATTTCCTTTCAAACAAAACAAATGAAGAATTGTGTAAAATTCTTTATCTTTTGTTTTCATGTTAGCACCAAATTTGTTGAGCATTTGAATAAGATGGAGATTTCCATTCAATGCAGCTTGAAGAACTACATCTCTTCCATTTCCGAATTCAAATCTCATTTCAGTATATTTTTCATCAACTGCAAACTTGATAGTAGCCTCATCTCCTTGATCTGCAGCTCTCTCAAGTATTTTGTAAAGTTTACTGAAATCTGGATTCTTATTTCCGCATTTGATCAATTGTAATTTGTTGTTTTCTGTTTCTTCTATTGATTTAACTGTAGCTGGTTGGGGTGGTGTCTGAGGTTGCGGTGGTGGTGTACTTTTAGGAGGAGATACTGGTGTTAACTGAGGTGGTTGTGTATTTGAAGTTATAGGTGTAGAAGAAGGTAATTCTTTAGAATCCTGTTGTGATTCTGGTTTAGTATCTGTTTGTAAAAATGTTATTATATCTGATAATAACTTAAATTTAAGCAATTGTGAGATTGATTCTAATACACGGTAGTAATTTGCTTTATCTTCATCGAAATTGATATGTGCATGCTGCATCATTTCATATGTATCCTTTTCATCAAAATATTCACTTATTCTTTTAAAAAATTCACAAAATTGATCAACTGAGAGTTTTGTATATTCAAGTGTGGTGCATATTTGAAATTTTGTGTGTGTCTCAATGAAGCCATTATCATTAAACCATTTATCCACTTGCTTGCCAAGTGATTGAAAATGCTTGGTCATTGTAAGTGACACAAATGTAAAGCCCCTATTCATATCGTTATTTATTTGAAACATATATTCATATCAAGCATATTTCAGATATATATAAGAAAAAAATTATGATTTTAAAAATTTTATGTGAATGAATAGTTTATTTACTGATCACTGCACTATACTATATGAGTATATGAGCTCTTGAATAAAATACATGAGCAATTGAGTAAAATCTGATGTAATGAAAAAAATGTTTGAGAATATATCCGAATTTCATTAAAAGATTATTTTGATTCATTAGAGTATTTAAGGGTTAACATTATAAACTTGAATTTATAAAACAAATTGTAATTCAAAATTAAGTGTATAAAATTTATAAGATAACGTCAACAAAGCTGTGATGAGCATTACCTACAAATGCATGAAGTTAGTATATGTTTCATTTTTATAAAAATTTTTAGTTGGAAATGCTTTCATTAGAATCTTCTGAAAGAATTATTGGGAAATTTGCAAGTCATAGCAAAAATATGACTAGTTAAAGTTTGTTACGTTACAGTATAATTGAAATCACATTCTTCTGCTGATTTCGTCCTTCGAGTGGGAAATTTTGTCACTTTTTTTGAGAATTCATTCTTTCCGAAATGAAATAAAAGTTTGCATTTATGAGCCAATTTTCATTAAAGACCCTTTTGATCTACCAGTTAAAACATTTGCTCAATAAAATTTATCTGAATCAAGATAAATATGAACATTCAAAATTGTTCAAAATCAACACTCCTTGTAATACAATAAGTTGTTTCACCATAGCCATTTTGCTTGTAATCATGCTCAATTGTACGATTGTTTTAGCTTTCAACTAAAAATTTATCAAATAATCTAAAGTAATTATTAAAGAAAATACAAACAAATATTTATTGATTAGAATGAGTTACAATATTAAAGGCTGCGGATAGATTGCTGCTCTTGATCGTTATTAAGATTGAATCTTTCATAGCTGCGCTCTCTAAGATAAGGAAGATTATGGAATTCTAACTTCCTGTCGTAAATAGCATAAGCGGCATCGTTCTCGTAATCGATGTAATCGGAAGCTGAAAAGAGCGTAAGGAGTCTCTTGCATCCTTCCTTCTCGATGTATTCGAATGGATATTCATATCCATCATCAACGCACTCGTGGCCGCGAATGAGGATTGAAAGGCGGTTTCTATTGAGGAAGTCAAGAGTTGGAGATAATCCAAATATGAATGTTTCTCCTCTATCGGAGTCAGCAAATGTTTCAACATCTTCATCAGGATCTGCCCATAAAAGATCGAACATTGGACCATTATCAGGGACATCGCAAAATCTATCAATCTTCATTATGTCATCAAGTGTTTCGATGTATTTGCTGATGCCTCCGTGGACGCAGAAAATTCTTCCATTAAGAACAGCGCAGAGAGGGAGATTGTTGAAGGTCTGAACAAATGTGTTGTATATTTCTTCGCTCCTCTTCTTAATGCACTCCTCTTTGAATCCATAGACTGATGTCAAATAAGCGCTTTCATGATTTCCTCTTAAAAGTAGAACTCTTTCTGGAAATAGGACCTTCATTGTGAATAACAATGAAATAACTTCAAGTGAGTATTGGCCTCTATCTACATAATCGCCAAGGAAAAGATACTTTTGTGTATTTTCTGCCCAAGTCTTGCGAAGAATACGATCGAGATCATTGAGTTGGCCGTGTAAGTCACCAACAAGTACGAATTTGCCTTGTGTGAATACAACATTAGGTTCAGCTTTAAGGATCTCACTAACTTTTTCATTTAACCATAACAAGTATTCGGGAGAAAGCATGTTAAGAATCTTCTTCTGGAGTTTGCGTGTGCCAATGTAGCCAATGATTTTTTTAGCAGTATTTGCATGATTTGTATCTGTATTTTGCATTTTAAAATCTGAATGGGATGAACGATTGAATGCATATTGAATTTGAAGACAATTCAAAGAGATATTGAAATTGTGTATATTATCATACCGGAAATTATAATGTCCGTATGTAGATAAACAACATTTATAAAGATCGAAAAATTGAATACTCACATAATTATTCAATAATTTAAATAGTTCTCAAAACTATCCAAAATTCGAAGAAAGGCTAGTAATGTAAATTGAGCAAATATTAACAAAGAAATTAAAATGAATTCTCAAAAATCCATAAAAAATAAACTTTATAAAAGTCCTTTTTCAAGAGTATAACAGTTTGAATGATTTAAGTTCTATTATTAGTGCCATGAATTTTTTTAAAATTGGTTCGCGATCGAATTTATCAAAAGTTTTTCAAAGAAAATCAACATTTTTGGATTAATTGAGAAAAATTGCAATAGAATCATGTGTGTATAATGTTAAAGAAGATATGAAAGTGAATTAAGGGATCAACGTTTGAAAAACTAATTGTCACTTTTTGAGCATAAAAACATCATCGAGGATTTTTATTGATAATATGTATTTCTGGGTTAAAATTCCTATTAGTTTTGTAATAAACAGAAATTCATCAAAAGTGACAGCTCTCAATTTTTTGACATTTGTAAATTCTAAATTGAATGAGAAAAATGAAATAATACTAAGCATAATACAATATTCTAGATTTAATTATAATTAGGAAAAGTTAGTTTTGAGAGTACTTTTCATAGGCATATAGAATGAAATCTTCTGAAAAATAATATCACATAAACTCATATTATTTTCTAATATATAACTATTTTATATAAAAATCAAATTCAATGATCTTAAAAGCGAAGGATAAACCTCAAAATTTACGAATATAATGAGTGGGAATATAATGCTTATCTATCATAAAACCATATGAAATATCATTTTTTGCTTTACGCCTAATTTTTGACGACAATTAGCAAAAAATGTTAAATGTTAACACTCAGTCCATTTGAATATGAAAAATAAAATTGACTTTGATTAAATGTTTTTATTTATCATGCAATTCTTCTTGCGACCAAAGATTTGACTAAAATTTCAAAAAATAAGATAGCTTAAAAAATAATATACGGTAGTGTTTACTAATAGATGAATAGTATATAAATTCTATTAAAATGGATTTGATCCAAAAAAATATAAAACCAAAAATAATTGTTATAATTTAAATGAGAGAGGGTCAAAGTTGCTATTTGTCACTATTCCACAAGAATATAATGGGGAACAAGTTATCATATACTTGACCTCATTCAATGAGATGAAAGAAGTATGTAGTGTAATGCGATAAACAGTAGGATTGCTGCTCTAAGTCCTAGGTTCGAGACACATTGCCTTCATTTTTCTCTTTTTTATTGACGTAAACTATTCAATTTTTGTGTTCTCCATTCAAATTTCAGAATTTTTTTTGCAGATTTCACGCTACATTCGAAGTTACCTTTTGTAACAACCACCACTGCCTACGAAAGACGAAAGTGTGTCACGATTTCACCCGGAAATCCGACGGTTGTTTAAGAGTAAGCACTTTTGGCACCTACTCTAATTTAAATGAAGAAGTAATTTAAAACGATTTTATTTATGATCAAATTTTATATATTTTTTTGGATCAAATCCATTTTAATAGAATTTATATACTATTCATCTATTAGTAAACACTACCGTATATTATTTTTTAAGCTATCTTATTTTTTGAAATTTTATTCAAATCTTTGGTCGCAAGAAGAATTGCATGATAAATAAAAACATTTAATCAAAGTCAATTTTATTTTTCATATTCAAATGGACTGAGTGTTAACATTTAACATTTTTTGCTAATTGTCGTCAAAAATTAGGCGTAAAGCAAAAAATGATATTTCATATGGTTTTATGATAGATAAGCATTATATTCCCACTCATTATATTCGTAAATTTTGAGGTTTATCCTTCGCTTTTAAGATCATTGAATTTGATTTTTATATAAAATAGTTATATATTAGAAAATAATATGAGTTTATGTGATATTATTTTTCAGAAGATTTTGTGTTCTTCTTCAAAATTTTATTTTTTTATTAAAAAGAATCTTTACAAAATATACATTTACTTTAATTAATATTTAAAAATGTGCTCTATCAAAAGTTCCAAAAATTCAATATTTTAGCTTTTCTGAGGTGTCACTTTTGATGAATTTCTGTTTACAACAGTTTTACTATCAAAATGACTAGATACGATAAATTCAACAAAATTTTGCCAATTCCTTCCAAATTTCATGTATGAATATCCCTTCAGCATATCATAGCAATAATTAATTGATATTTTCGCTTACTTGGCTGAATTAATTAGAATTAAATTCAAAATATTTCTACATTCATGAATTTAACAATCTAACGCATGAATATAAATCTACTCATATTTTAAAATGTTTTCATTGATTTACGAATAATATAACTAATCTCTTTTGTTGACTTATGTATAAATTATCTTCATAACCTCCAAAAAAAATTCAAAAACAAAAAAATGATCAAAATTGTTTAGGACTTTCTTTCATTGATTTGTCTAGTTTAAAAATTTTGGAAAAATGGAAAGGCGCAGAAATTACAATACAAGCATAAGCAAAAGCGTGTAAGCCTATTTTTCGATTCAACTTCAGGTATTTGTATAAGAACATATATTTCTTGCTTCATAGTTAGTGTTGAAGACTCACACAAATTATCAGCATCCAAGATTCATATGATCTACAAATTTAATTGCTTGCAAAAAGAAAAAATTCATCTATCTCTATACATTCCATAAATTATGGGAGTATTCAACTATGTTTCAATTTATAAACATGCGTTTCTTATTAAAATTTAACAATACACGACGTACAATCTAATTTTGAATCAAGAATTGGACATAATATTTCCCCAAAGATCGGCAAATCATATAGTTATCTTAAAATTTCTCAGGAATACTTATATGCTTGTTGTAAAACTCGATTTTTGATTTTACTTATAAAATTAAGTTGCATGGTGGCTTTTAGGATATAAATATTCAGCCATTGATACAAAATATACTATATGTGTTGAGCCACTGAATCTTAATTAGCAGATTTTCCTTACATATCACTATCTCATATCTGTTGTATTAATTTTTTACTCTTTGTCAGTTCAACTAGAACTATTTGCCTGTAATAATGATTTTTAATGGTTTTCATGATAATGGATAATATGAATAATCGTTTTGAACACAATTTATTTCAAAAATTTTTAAAATCTAAGGATTTTGGATAATGTTTGAAATTAGAGCGACCATTTTCCAAGTATCTGCCAGTTTTGAAAAGCTAATTCAATTTTTTAAAAGGTGACATATGTAAATTTTAATTTGTGTTTATAAAGCCTATTGGAAAGAGAATTTATTGAATGATATTAATGCTATCATATATCATTCTTTTTACACCAACTATTCATACACAACATTTTACTTTATATCCACATTTTCAGTTTAAAATTTTCATTTATGGGAATTCAACAGAGAAAATATATCAAAATATAGGGTGGAACATATAGAACCAACCTTAAATTAATCGCTAATTGTTATCCGATGGAGACATCAGGTTATTTACACCAAATTTTATTTTGATTTCCAAAAATTCATTAACAGAATCATATCCCGACAAGTTAATTCAATACACACAACAAAACGTGCACTATTTATTGCAATGAATTAATTATACTCTAATTTTTCATCGTGTTTGATTTAAATTTCATTTCTCATAGAGAAATAAATATTATTACAGGTTTAATAAGCTATAATTTATATTTTAAACACAGTTGACATATCGATACATGTTATCTCCAACAAAATTATTCCCGAAATAAAATTCGATCAAAAAATGTTAATAAGATATACAATATAACTACTAAACAGTTTAATTTTCAAATGATAGAGGCTCATTTGGTCTACAAAAAGTTTTCACCGAAAAATAATTCTTTGCATATGGAACGCAAGAAATGTTATTCAACAAGAAACAGTACATATCTCTATGACGCGAAGGAGTCTTTTGCAGGTCATGGTTCCCTAAGAAATCGCACACTTTTTCATTATCTCGTTTCAGAAGCTTTTTAGAGCCAGCCATCTCATATAATAGATCAAGAGTGTTCAAGTATAGTCCATTGTACTGATCGTTGCCGAATTTTTTCAAAATATCTTTTGCGAAATCTTTATAAAATCGTCCGTTCCTTGATATTGCATGAGTTTGAGAAACTCTGAACAAAGTTGCAATCACATCATTATTATCTCCGCAATCTTCCAAAATGTCTCCGACCATATTTTTTTTGTATTCAAAACCAACGTTAATCCTTGTGTAAGCGTCCAAAACTAGTAACATTTGTTGGACAAGTTTCCAGTTTTTCTTCATTCCGCAGTAATACGCCAAAGTTTGGATAGATTGTTGCAATCTAGATATCATATTATATTTTTCAGAGTACTCAAGCGTTATTTTGGACATGGTCTCACTATGCATGAACTTTACAAGCTGATCAAAGTTTGAAATTAACATATCATAATTTTCAGTTGGATCTTCCAAGTCATATACGATATCATCCATAAGTATTTGCATCACGTGATTCGGATTTTCTACCAAACTAAGCGCATTCGTCTTTTTCGGTAACAAAAACATGACACCATTGATAGCAACAAGAATCCATATGAAATACTGGATATAGTTTTGACATTTGACTTGCTGACTTGCGAATTCTTTGAGAGTTTCTCCTTCTTCTGAATCATCATCTTCAATTGCATCGAAATCGACTTCAGTTATCCTATTTGGCTCGTTTGAATTGACCATTGCAGGTTCATCCATTATTTCTGCCTCGTTTTCTCCTATTTGATTGAGTTTTGAGGATGATAGCTTCATGAAAATATTTTTTCAATAGAATTTCTGAGCTCTCTGAAATTGTGGTTCAAAAGTGACAATTGTCTGTGAATATATGTTCATAATATCGAAAATAAGAATATTTCATCGTTTATTTGAATTATTTTTATATAAAATTGAGAGTGAGACGATAGCAATAATTTGAAAGAGCACGAACTTTGTTTATTTTTATCTGAATATTAATCCTCTTTTCTTCGGCATTAGTGAAACTCGAATTATTTTATTCTATCGAAGTTTTATGAGCCACATCTGAGAACAGACTAATTTCGTAACAACATGAATTTGTTATACGGATACTGTTAGATATTATCCCAAGTAGATCCAATTTTATTCGAATTCAAATGATTTCGGAAATTATGTATTCTGCCGCCAAATTTAATTAGTATATTTAATATCACCATGAATAATTATTGATATGTCTCAAATTAATCCCACTAATATCGTAAACTTTCTGATTATTTTTGGCGCCAATTGATATTGATGAACTGTATAACTATTTTATGTGCTTTTATACATAAAAGAGTTAATTTGGTATTCAAATTACTCATTGAAGATCAAATTTTAAATTGAGCCCGGTTTTTTGTAATAAAGATTCAAAAAACTTCTTATCTGCATACGCATCATTTATTTTTTTATACAAACACAAGTATAATTTAAATCATTTTGGTTTGGAATGTTTTTTTTCCAAAAGAGACTGGTTCTCTTCATTATTAGCCATCCTTCTTCTTCGAGAAATCTCTCCTATTATGAACACTCCTACAGTTATTAAAATCAATACAATTAATCCTCCGAATAAGTAAATATCAGATGAGCTTATCTTCATTTTCGCTGGCGTTGGAGTTGGATAAGCTGCCTGAACTGGTAATCTGTCAGTTGCGCATCTCCAATATTTGAATTTGATTGGAATACTTAATTTTTGATAATTATCTTTTTGGAATATATGGTAATTATCAAATTCAAGATTATCAGTGTATTTAATACGATCACGAGGTATATCAAAGAAACAATTTTCAAATGTAATATGAGCTTTGATTTCTGTATTCAAAGCAGTGTAATTACCCTCTTCGTAAGAATAAATAGTAAATAGAGTATCGAAATATTCCAGTAGAGTGACCTTAATCATGATTTTTGAGTGAACAAAAATTGATTGAGAAACTTTAATGGGTCTCCATACTTCAAAGAAAGATATTTCATTACCACCATATGAAGTGATCTTATTAAAGACTATTTGAGAAATATCCGATTGCCCTTTTTGAGCTAATCCGAAGGCAATGAAAGATTGCGAGGAAGAATTGAAATTATTGATATATTTGTATTCCAAATAACTTGTTGATGAATAGTAGCCTAAGCAGTTCTTTTCGCGTACAATACATCTTGTTACATTGTTATTATTGAAAATACATTTGTTTGCAGCAGCTTTAAGCATCATATGCAAGCCAGGCTCGTGTCTAGGTGAACACATATCAAATATTGTAGTATTTACTTCTATTTCTAGAGTAAGTTCCGAACAAAAAGTCTGAAATGTATAAACTGATCTACAATATGAGAAACAATTGCTAGACATGTACAAATCTACATTACTTGTAAAGAAAATAGCAGCAGATAGTTGTGAACTTAAATTTATAAATCTTGAATTTTTAATTGTAAGAGTTCTGGGTTGAAAGGCTGGTGCAATATTTAGACATGTAGAATTTTCACCAGTATTTATGTTCTTGAATAAGCAGTTATCAATAAGAATTGAATCTAAACCTTTTATACTAATGCCTTTGAAGAAATCCTTATCAACATGTGATACGATATTGCCTTGGCTAAGCAAAACAGACTTTTGAATCCTCTGAAATTCGGAATTTTTTAATGTTGTAATGAAAGGCTTATTAAAATAAAGAACATGGGAAAATAGATGGTGAAACGAGCATTTATTCATTGTAATTCTTGCATCTCTTGAAATAAACGGTGATAAACTATTTGAAGTGTGAGATAAAGCAAGAATCGAAATATTCATTATAATAAAATGACATATTAATTAATAAAACATCCTCAGTGTTGGGAATAAAGTATATAATGAAGAGTAAAGATATTTCATTTTGAGAATTTGATTTCGAAAAAAATAAATTTGGAATTCAAATATGTTATTTCGAAATCAAGGTGTGAAAAAATAGATAAGAAAAAGTAAGGCAATTAAACAGAAAGTGGTACAGAATCGATATTTACAAAAGACAAATTATTTGAGTAAGTCACGTAATGATGCCGTTTTTTTCAGTCTAGCCTTAATCTTGGCTATAAGCTCCCTTCGTTCTTTCTCTTGGCGGGCGAGCAAATTATCATATTCTGATTTTTGCTTTGCCTGCAACTGTTGAATAGCAGATGGCTCTGGATCAGCCGGTGGGGGCTCATAGTTCTCTGAAATCAATGTATATTCGAATAAAGCCTGCGTAGAAGGCCTCATATCAACTGGCAACAAACAGCAAGTAATGAAATCTGCTACAGAAGGGTCAGAAACCTGTCCAACAGAGGAAGGCGATTCTCCCTTCAAGATTGAATCCTTTGGTGATGGTTTATCTGAATAAGGTTGTTCGCCAGTTGCCATTTCTATAACGCAAAGGCCGAGGGACCAAACATCTGACCTTGGCTCGGCAAGTCCCTTCTGAACTTCGATAGGCGCAACTGGCGAAATCCAATTAAATAATACAGCTTCGAAAGAAGGAATTCCGATTTTGATTATGCCTGTATTAACATCAATGTATATGTTATTGCAAGTCAAGTCGTTATGTATAATTGGCGGAACTGCGTTGTGTAATGCCATTAATCCGTTCAAGATCTGTATACACCATTTTGAAATGACAGAGGTAGCCGGCCTCGTTGTTAGTTCTGTCAAATAGTTTCTTAATGTTTTTCGCGAGAAGACTTCTGTGACGTATACGAAAGTTTTTCTTGCAGAATCTAACCAGGCTCTACTAATCTGTAAAAGGTTTGGATGTTTTATTTGCGAGAAAGATGTCATGAAAACCTTGAGACTTGAGAGAGATTCAGGTGGCATATTTTCAATCGAAATTTCATACCAATCTGCAGGACTGCTTTCCTCTTGATCGAGGCATTTATAAACAGTTGTGCGGTTAATTTTCTGTCTGACTTCACACCTCAAATAGCGATTGGATGGGTCTACAATCGATTCACTCATTTGAAGGGAACTGTCACATTTCAGAGGCCGTGGCAGTTTACATAAGAAAATTGACAATTGTAAGTTTATTTTTTTTTCTGACTGAAAATATATAATCCAATTTTAAGATTACAGATGTAATCTTACAACATCATAGACTATAAAAATCCAAACTATCAGTATTTTCGACTCATATGTTTTCAAATCATTATCCAATTGATTTTTCGGCTCGACTGTTAAGTAATTCATATTAAATTTATGTATAAAGAGTATGATAATCATCATCTTAAGTCTTATCATGTTATTTGCATATAATTTAAACTCGTATTGCTATAGATCATGTTATGATACATTCTTTTCAGAGCTTCTATTATATGTTGCTTTATTGTTAAATAACTCTGCCTCAAATCCCATATTGTCGGCTGAAGTAATGAATGTCGAACCTTTAGGAGTTAAATATTGCAGAACCAGCATCTAATTCTTCTATATTATATAAATATTTCATAGTTTCGTCTCATTCACATGATGATACTGTCAGCTTAATTTAATTGTCGTGTTTTTGCATAGATTATGCTCAGCCAATAAGGATGTCAATTCGGAAAATTGTTTTCATTTTAGGAGAATATAATTTTCCTTTTGGAAAATTTAAAAAGTGAGACGCGCAGGATTCGAACTTTTTTAAAAGTTGATTTAAATATATTCTAGTGTGGAATCTAAGGATAATATCATATTTAAAATAAGAATATACGAGTTTAGGTAGTATTATTTTTTTCGATAAATTTGAGAGTATGTACGTTTAGGGCATCAAAAGTGTCAATTCGCTCAGCGAAAGCAGAGCTAGCTTCGTTCTCGAAAAAATAGGGAAGAAGTGAAGGAGAGTGATACAGATGTTGACACATTCATATAATTTCAACAAATTGGATCAAATTGAAATTCAATGAAATTCAATTCACTTCATATCCTTCAGTCAGTACATTGACATCCTTCTACATCACAATGATAACTCGGGAATCAATAGTTCTACAACTAACTCAGAAAAAAAAACAAGATTTTTACTTCCAGCTTGCAGCTTTTAAAAAGTTTCGATGATAAAAATCACTATACTCTTGTTTATAGATATGTGATGATAGTAGGTAAACATATTCTTATCGATTTTAATAAAAATATTTTTACGAAAATCTGAACCAATTACAGAGTTATTCATAAAGTTTATGATAACTGTAATTATTTCATCTTTGTTTTATATTTGAATAAACAATTTAATTTAAATTGCATAATATTTTTTGGTTGAAAGACAGGAAACTTAGTTGAGTTTGTATTATTTTTATCGTTTAATTCATCGTATCAGTGAGTGATCCAGATATTTAAGATATTTAGAAAAAAATTATTAATTTGATTAACAAATTTTAATCAAAATAGCAAAAATCTATTTGATAGCTGTAAACAAACAATAATTTTTATTTCAAGCAAAATCACTTATTTTCATCTAAACGTATAAAATTGTCAATTTTATAAAAATAAATTGAAAATCTCAAGAAATGTAAAGGAGAGTAATATTTTTCAATTTTCTTTTTTTCTTTGTCTCAAATATTTTCTGTTGGGAATTTTCTTGTTATCAAAAAATAATTTTAATATTTGTTTATTTCATTACATACAATAAAATTTTAAAAACTCTATTTCTTCTCAAGAAAATTTTTTTCCTTCATATGAAGAAACATTTTGTTCTCCATTTGATACTGAGTCTAAATCTCGATTTTTGAATTTTCTTCTTTCCAAATTTCTTTTTTCCAAATTAGAAGTTTAATTCAAATTTTCAATAGTTTATATATTTTCTCAAACCGTCTCAGATTTTCTCACTTTTTAGGGATTTTCTCTTAAAATATACAAAAATAGTAATATCAATACATGTGTCTAATATACTTTAAAACCATCGTGACAAAATTCAAAAACGAAGAGTTCTTCTCTCCAAATTTTTTTCAAAATCAAAACAATCAGATAAAAAAGTACGTTTGGAAAATTCATTTTTAGCATTTTAGGAATTTTCTCACTTTTCTTCCAAATTGACATCCTTACAGCCAACAGTGAAAACAGTTACTGTAACATAATCGGAATATGGCTAAATATCAATAACGATCAATTTTTTCGATGAATGCTGAAATTAAGTACAAATAATTCAAATTAGCGACCAATATCATATCCCTAATTACAAGTATCATAAGCAAATGCATTTCAACATGTTAAACATATTCGATCATTTATCATTTACTCGACTCAAAGTTCGACGATTATTTTCGATTCAATACATGGCCATACTCCGTCACGGTCACTGGGGGATTCGTGCTCCTCAGTAACTAAGAACTACGGAAACACACTCTTTCCTTAATCAAAAGCCACTTCGTAGTGAATTTTTGGCCAGGAGAGAAACACTTCATTAAAAAAAAAGAGAGTTTTTATTTTTTTGCTGAAATTATATTCAATATTTTGAAATCTAGTACACAATAATGTTAGAAAATGCGTATATTACATTAATTAACGAGATAATCAATTATTGTGCTTAAAATAATACTCTATTTTAAATTTTTTTTGTAACTTGTGAAAATTTATAAATAATTATTAGTCAAGAGAGCTATAATTGGTCACAAATATGATCATGAGAATGATATTTTCTTCATTTAGCCAATATTTACATTGATATTTTTCTATTTCTAATCCGAATCATTACTAATATATCCAAATGATTTACTAGAAACAGATATATCCATTATCATGATATATCATGCTTTTAGACATTTTTATTAATTTAAGTTATTACATTTATCATTTGAAATGACAGCATTATGTTTATATGTTAGTTAATGTATTTACAGTTCCAGTTAGTTATATGATCAATTTAACATAAAAATAAAATAATTTTTATTCTCTATAATAATTCTATTATTCTTCAGCCTTTTCAGCCTCTTCTTCATTCTTTGGTTGATCAAATTGCATTTTGCTAATTTCTTCAACTTCTCTGTCATACATTGCCATTTTCTTCTTTAATTGATTAACATTAAGTTGCCATGGGTTGCGTCTACGATCCATAGCCATCATTTCAAAATCATTACCGTATCTTGTCTTTAATTGTGCCATAATCTTAAAATCGTTTTCACCAAGATGTCTGACTAAAGGATCTTTATCTGGAATCTTATCCATAACTTCTGGTAAGTTTACTACGACTTCTTCTGGCTGTTTTTCTTTTAATTTTTCTAATGCTTTTTCGCGCTTAAGATTTCCGAGTTTATCTGTAAAACCAATCTGTGCTGTATCATTTGGATTTGATGAAAGACCTAGTCTTGTGTAAAAATCTTTGAAATTTGTGGCAGTTCCAACTGTATATCCGTAAGATTCGATTGCTTTCTTGACATCATCAGGAAGTTCTGGTGCAGCCATCTTTCTTTTATACATTTTGTTGTAGCGTTTCTGAAGAGAGTGTGTTTTACCCATGAATAAATCTAAAAATCTGGCCAACCGCTTTTTTCAAGGAAAAATGTCTCTCTAAAAGCACATCATATTTTATTTTGGATTTAGAACTTCTTTTGCCAGAGATGACATTTTATCTATTCAGGATTTAGCAATTGAGTCTACCTGATTGATTTGATATTGTATCATGTTTATTTTGCATATTTATTCCAGAACATTAAATTAATTAAGGTTAAAAGCTTATATATATAGTATCATGTCTCAATAAATTCATCAATGAAATATTTTTTATCAAAAAATCAATTAAAACAATTCGCCATCATCAATGTGTCCAAAATACGCTATAATGTAATATCATGAGAGTTAGGATATCGCCAGCTTAGAGTATTTTCAAAGTTTTATTAATATACACCAAGGTTAGGATATATATTAACCAAACGCCCACACTTATAGAATATACACGTTTTTCATTGGAGCATTGCTAGTGTACTTTTCAAATAAATTGACTTTTGTATACAAAGGCACAGTAATAAACTTAAGACCTAAAAATATCAAAATCCATAGTAATTAACCAACCAATACTATTTTGCATCTAGTAATATTAAAAATCAATTAAGGAGAAATAAAAAGTTACATTTTTACGTAAAATTTCGTAGATAAATAATAGTATTTACAACTGATGTGAAATAGATCTTTCTTATTGAGGTTCGCCGTAAGGAACGTTATATCCGATAACTTCCATCTTTGTCCACCAAGCTGAGTAACAGAGGGTCCAAATTCCGAGAATGTATAAGGAAAGCCAAAACAGCCAGAACGATCTCTTGCCGATTACGACTAATTCTTGGCTCTCAGTTTGCCTATTTAAGCAATATATCCAGCACATGAGCCAGCAGAGCGGGCAAAGTGCAAAACCGACTTTAAACATAATGTTTGCATTTTTGATATAAACATCTAAGGGATCTTTCTTGCCTGGATCCATGTATAAAAATTTGTCACTTTTATTTAATGTCAAATAATTTTTTGAGATTGAAAGAACCTTAAAAAACCTCAATAGACTTCATACTCCATCTCTACACCACATGGTTCCTTTTCATTGATATAATTTTCATTTATTTGAATTGGATCTTGAAATATGATTTCCATCTTTTTAAATACAAGTCCTTAGACATAAAAATCATTTAAATGTTGATACATAGCTTAATGATACCAACTGTGAACTGTTATAACTCTGAATTCAAATTATGAATTGAAAAAAAAATTTGGATATATGCGTAAGTTAGGGATATTTGATTTCACCTATGATGAGTTCATATGTAATTCTAAAAAAAGCTTTATGATAATAAAAAAATAAAATAAAAAATATTTCTAAGAGTCTAAATACAATTCAAAATGAGGATCATGAAAACATCAATTGCTTAAAGGCCATCTAAATCACCTTTCTCGACTTCAGCCTCAATATCTTTTGGAATTTCGCTATCAGGTCCGAGTAACATATCAACAGTTTCTACTTCTTGCTTACCACTTCCATCAGCAAATCTAGAAGCAGCTTCAAAGTAAGCAGTCTGACCTTGTTTGTTTTTGATTTTAGTATCAGCTCCTGCTGCAAGTAAAATCTTTATAATTTTGTTATTTCCGTTGATTGCAGCAAAATGAAGTGGGGTGTTATCGCTGAGTGTTTTAACGTTGACATTGATACCTGGTTTTTTAAGAACTTCAGTAAGTAATTCAACCATACCATTAGCAGCAATTGCGTGAAGTGGTGTAGATCCAAATTCATCTGGTTTGCAAGGATCAATTTCTGCTTGAAATTGATTCCAGATTTCAATAGCTGCTTCTTCGTCTTGGAAACGGCATCTGGTATTGAAACGATCCTGTGGAGGATCATTTTCATCACCATAGCCTTCCTCTTCTTCTTCGTAAATCTCTTCCTTTGTTGACATCGTTCAAAAAAATATTGTCCTTAGTCCCTCTCACTAAAAAAAGAAGGAAAGGATTTTGAAATTAATCAGAATAAATGAAATCAAAGCAATATAAATCGCTACATTTGCTATGCAATCTATATTCAAAAATGATTTTTAGATGCTCAAATTGAATTCAAAGTAATTTTTTTCAATCGACAACACATGATTTTAGTCAAATAATGAAACGGTTACATTTTTGAACATAGCCTTACTCAGTAATCAGAAAAACATTATTGATTTGATTCAATTTACATTCGATAATTATCAACCAAGAATTTCATATGGAGATCAAATTACATTGGTTCAATATATATATAAACATTCAATAAAGCAGTGGTTTTGAATCGTAAATTATAAACAAAATTTTATTAAACAAATATTATTCTATTTTTGTGATTTTTGTGCTAAAATTCGTATGTTATCTTCGACCTTTTTAACAGCTTCTGCTCTTTTTGCATTTTCTTTTTGTAATTCCAATAATTTTTGTTTGAGTTCTTCATTTTTAGTCTTTAGTGCTGTTACTTCCTGATTGACATCTATACATTTGGTTCTTGTTGTATCATAACGTCTAATTAACTTTGTAATGTAATGAACAGATTTATCGTAGTTTACCAATAAATTTCGAGAGTTTTCTATTTGTTTGCTAGCAGTTGCAAGGTCCATATTAATTTCATCAGAAAAGACAAAGAAATTTTGATTATTTTCCAAAACTTTTACTTTTTGAACATCAATTTCCATAGATTCTGCAAATGCATCTAAAACGGCATCATCCATTGCATCTCCAGATACTTTGAATGCTGGAACTGCAACGTAAATTTGCTTTTTTTGATCCATAAAAATTTGTCATTTTTATTTTCATTTGTCAGTTTCAATACACACTTTGCTAATAAGGACAACGATCCAACAAGTAAAATGTAGCGGTGTTGCCACATTAATATACTAAAAGGCTACTTATAATAGAAGAAATTTGATTTCAATATTATTTTTAAGGGGTCTAAAGCTAATGATGAACACAATAATAACACGATCAGAGCTCCCTAAGAGATGTACCATGTTTAAAACATATATTGAAGAAATTTATTTAAAATTAATAAATATAATCTAATAAAGAACTATTTATGAGGTTTTACAGCTATAAAATAAAGATCTAATATCAAAAAAACTAATTACGGTATTGGAGTCTGATTTTCTGTTTTATCTTGTGGCTTCTTACGCATGATTGAGAGGAATGCGTAGATCCAAACAGTCAAGAGCAATGCGGATGGTGCGCAGCCAAGAATTGGAAGAGCGTAGTAGTGAACACCCATAATTCTAAGAACTTTGATATCTTCTGGCTTAACAGTAACAACTGGACCGTAGTAGTTCAATTGGTTCTTCATTGGCTCTTTAGAATAGCCTGTAATGTTTGCATATCCTGGTTCTGAATCGTGCATTGTTTGAAGTCTGAAAATTATAGGGCTGCTGTATGCAATCTTGTAATCAGCTATGGCCTTGCCTTCAAAACTATCATCAAACTGGTTATGAACCATATTATCACGATAAATTAAAACTTTATCGTTGGCCATGTTGCAGTCTAACTTGAAAAGCTTATGCTTTGCTGGTGGGGCAAAGAAAATGCATTCATCTGCATTTCTTATGGATGTATCCCAATGATGATTAAATGTTTCATTGACATAGACTATGAGATTAGACATGCATGATGAGCGAAGTATACTTGCATATGAAAATCCAACGCAATGGTCTTTCTTTAATTCGATATTGATTTCAGCGTTTCCTGTTGGGAATCTATAAGCTGGTAATGTGAAATCATATGGGTGATGCTCTGTGCCAATTGGTTGAGCATATGAAAGCTTTGTTTCATTTGTGTATTCTGTTAAAGCAATCACAAAATCATGATGCCATGGAGATAAAAGCGTATAATTCATATCTTCTTCAGCACAATATCTAACACTTTGTATGTTATGGCCGAGTTTGACTGTAAAGTCATTTAAACTATGTCTGATTGAAATCAAGAAAAACATTGAAATCGATATTACGATCAAGAGGTAGGGCAACGATAGGTCAAAAAGGCTTCTCTGATAGATTTCCTTGCCTTTTGGATATGCTATAATATATAGCCTAGCATGATAGGATATGATGTCAAAAGTTAGAACATAACTTAGGATCTTGAGAAAAATGAAAAACAAAAATTACATAAAAAAAGAAAAATTTTATCTAATTTGTTTTTTTGGACCGAATAAGTAATTTTATTGAATTTCAATACGACACATAGATTTTATTATTAGTAATAAATATAATGGTTTACTATTAACAAGGAACCTAAACTAATGAAAATTTGATTTCAAATATTGTATATGATTATCATAGATTACCAAAATATATTGCTATTTATGAGGATATAATATTGATTATTAGTAAATCGTATAAATTTAATAAATATACCATGAATATTGAATGAATTTCTTGATTCATAGGGGTAAAACGCGCTTTTATATGATTTAGACAGAGAATTTATGAGATGTAAATAACACAATAAAGGTTTATATTGAATATTTTCTAAAAAATAAATCGAAATTATAAAAAACAATACATTTATTCATTGAAACTACTTGGACAAATATGAAACAAGCATTCAGGCAATACTTTTGAGACTTCAACGCATCTGATAATTTTTATATAACTTCACCTCTTATGCTTAGAGTGGAGGTATTGAGATCGTATAAGTATAGATGAGCTCACATTCAGATATGATGTGTGAACTTCTGTTTTCACTGCAATTTTGAATCAGAATAAACTCAAAACAAGAATAAAATGATATACTCACTCTCTAAATGTGTTCGAGATTTAAAGTTGTATGAAAAAACGATTCATCTTTCGAAGCCTCCCATTTAATGAGAGACTTCGAAAGATGAATGTATTCATGTAGATGAAATACTATATATGACCTTGTGTGATACTAAAGATATCAAAATGTTCATTTTTAAGTGCAATAGAAGGGTTATCTCTCGTAAAATCTCAATTTAAGGAAGATTTAGAAAGAACTCCTTTCCTAAGTAGATAGTGTGTGGTTTCTGTCTTTTGGTTGATCAGGAACTATGAAATTAAGTCGGACAGAAAGAAGTTCTTTCCAAAACAGACTCCAAATGAGTTGTTCGAAAAGAACTTCCTTCTGTATATGGATAATTGTAGTTACCGCACTGAAGTATGTGATTGTGATGATGGAGTTCTCGATAAATCTAAAATCGGATTAAGATTAATTGAAAACTCAAGTAATTCTTTGAAATCTTGTGTTGTCTGGCACTATAATAACCAAAGAATGAGAATATTATGTTGAATGATGAGTACGTGTGCTCGGCATTCGCCGAGCGAATTGAGTTTAACGTACTATGAAAAGTGACAAATTTGGGCTTTTTTTCCTAGGGTTATGATCTCTTCCTTTCTGCTCAATACGACAGAAATGAAAGAATGAATTTGTACTCCCTAATTGATTACTACAATCTGTATCTATCTTTAACATAGAATTAGCTGCATTGTGATTTATACTCCAGAATTATTCAATTTAAGATCAACCTCGTAAATTTTAATCATATTGCACCAATACTCCTACGTTGAGATAAGAACATGATTATACATACCAAAGCCCCATATTAAAAATCAAAATTTAGCACCTCCATTATGCAACCACATTATTCGTCGCAAATAAGTATATTTACGCATATTATGATGCATATTCACACAACTCGTATACATGAAAAGTTATTAAAATCAGACAAAATTATTGCAATAAGGAAAAAAAAACAACTTTATTATATATGTTAGTAATGAATTACAAATATTTCTACAAAAAATGCTCAATACTTCATATAATCTTCGAATATTTCTTATTACAAGTTAATACATTTTGACTCGAACATGATAAACAAAAGCCGACACGCTGATTACTACATTTATGAAAATATAGTACGTTTCCATTCATCTGTTTACTTGTTTTTGTTGGAATAAAATCATTTTTTTTTTCTTTCATGAAATAAGAATTTTGCTGCGAAAGCAATATCTCTAACAATAATTAATACATTATGTCAACTCTGGAATGAGTATTTATCAAATATGATATCAAAATCAAAAATTAGTTGTTTTTTATGAGTAAAAACGATGTAAATTGATTATTTGACTAATTATCAAATACTTTGATTTTCCAAATTTGTTTCGAAATTGATTTTTTCATGTGAAAATTCAACTTGTTTAATTTCATTTTTGAAATTTTGAATTTTTTTTGGAATTTTGAGTTGATCAATTCAGCAGAATTGATAATGCTATTGCTTTAGGGCATACCACAAGGTGATGAATAAAAGGTGAACATTAACAAATTATTTTAAATCACAAATATCATCCTCATCAACTTTAATTCTAAAAAGAACTGTACTGAATTATGAAAATGCATGATTTACATTATTAAAATCTTTGAATGAAAATAGTACAAGATAAGTTTTTATTCATTTTTAATTAGATTTAAACGAAAAACTACTCCATATTAAAATTTAAGTCGAGAAATCGTATTTTGTTCTTATTTGTTAGCATTTTGTAGACATTCTAATCTTGAATTAATTTGTTACATGATATTATTAACAAATTTAACTGAAAAAATATGTTAATATGGAATAAACCATGATTATATAAGCTATCAATGCTATATATACATATGTAAAAGATTCATATTAAGGGTGCACACGAGAGGATCATGTAAACTTCAGAATTTAGAACCTTATTTTTAGGCATTATCTTGGCTACCTATTTAGGCTCGAAAAGCAAAAAATATCAAAAAATACAACTTAACTCCATTGTGACCCTTTCATGGAGGTAGTTTTTATCCGCTAGTATTTTCCCTTTGAATCTCTTTACAATTCGAAATCAAATTCAAATCTCAGTAGAAGAAAGGAAGAATCGACTTACTACGGTTGTAATACGAATAAATACATATATTTAATTATTTTTATTTACATAATAATTGTTTGAAGCTCATATTCCAACAAATTTTTAAATAAAAACATTAAAATGTTGAAAATGTTCATATATTTTAATAGGGTTTTGGCACTTTATTGAGGAATTACTACATACATAGTCGAACTGAACTTGATATTTTGAAATTTAAATTATTTATCAAAATTAAAATTTAACTTGAAATTTATAATTATTTAGTCATATTTTGCATAATTCTAAGTAGATTTTGTAAAAAATCAAGAAAGAAAAATTTTAACGTGCTTTATTTTTTCTTTTTATAATAATACATATTATATATATAATTAACATATTCATAATGTTTCACCCTTTCAAAAATATAATCCTCCTCCTCTCAAATAAACGTACATACGGGTGGCCTCTTTTTCAAAAAATTAAAATTTGAAATTTTGGGCTCAAATATTAGAGATTTTTTCAACCTTCAACGATATATGTTGTCTATATCAGACCTCCTTTCTTTTTGATACTTAACATTGTTCCTAAATCTTAGCCGTTAAGGCTGTTCTGAAAATATTTTTTTTTTCGAAAAAATTCGAAAAAAATTCTTAAAATTCAAAAATTCCTTAATTCCTGAGGATTTTGGAAAAAAGTTTTTACATGAACATGTGTATATTATATGAAGTATATTGATAAGGTAAAAATCAAATTTTATTGCATATTCATCGAGAAAATAAACTAACGAATCCCTCAAAATTGAGAGGGTAATCCTCCTCCTCTCAAATAAACGTACATACGGGTGCACCCTTAACTCAATTAACAAAAATGATAGATTTTCATAAAGGTTCAATCTAGGTTCGTCCGAAAATTTTGATTTTTATATAGAAGACATAGTTTCATATACATAATTAAATTTTCAAACAAATTTGATCATACCATTTATTAAGCAGGATAGTATATTAATTACTATCAGTATAAAAATATAAAAATGATTATATTTAATTATTGCATAATTTAGTCAAAGAGTTATAAGCCTCAAGTGATCGTTATCACCTTCAATGCACGTATACTTTATTGATTCATAGATATTTAATCTATGTTTGACATGTTGTTGTCGTCATTCGTTTTGTTCCCATTCTTCCTAAGTTAGAATTAGAGAATACACCATCCACATCATCTAATTTGGTCCTCAGCGATAGATTGGTTCATTTTGGAGGAGTCCCATCAGACAGTTTTCGAGCACCAAATATCAAATTTTAATGTATACAAATCTTTAGTGATTTATCTCTTTTATGATGAGTAAAAGGTTTCTGCTCATCAACATTTGATTTCCGACATATATGATTTCTAATTGCAATTATTTACTTTCTTTTTATAATCTAACTCTGTGACTCATACCATAAATTAATTATTGGAAAGTGTCAATATGTTTGGCACAACGCATGGCGGAAGATACCAAACCATGCAGGGAATATGATACGTTTAAGATCTCCGAACTTTTTTTCCAAAAATTTTCTATCGTTGCCCTACCTCTTACGATCATTTTCTTTTCAATTTGAGAATTTCAATATTAATTAATATCTTATATGTATATAGGATATTTAATAATTTTAAAAAAATGAAAAAGTGACAATTTGCGGTTAGAAAAAGTCATCAAAACACTTTTTAATGATTTCATTTAACATAAGCATAGACTATCTCTTTGGTTTTTAACTTCAATTTCCCGAAATGAAATGAATTTGAACAAACACGATTATTTTACGATTATTTTTTGTAAATTTTTTTAAATTGAGACTGACATCTCTACAATCTTCTTAAAAATCCAAATATCAAATAAAATACATAATTGGGCCTTATCTTTAGAGCTCCTAAATATCATTATCAATTTTTTGGGGATTTTGCGGTTAAAGATAATACCCAAATCTAACACACGACACTCATTTCCATATATCGTTCAAAAATACTAGACTATTGGAATTTGTATGTCAAATTATGAACTTTACAAATATTGCTCTGCTTACAATACAACTCATGAAATTCATATTATTAACTAATTTTAAAAACCGTTTCACTAATTCAATTTGTAAAATTTTAAAATTATTTTTTTAATGCTAATTGATAAATTCCATTTGGCTGCTAAAGGAAAAGACAACTATGAACTTTATCGCAACATAGCAAGCAAATGCTTATATCAACTTTATAATTCTGCAGAATTTCCTCAACAAATGTATTATTCGCAAGATTATTTAGAGAAAATAAATTTCAGTATATCGAATAGAAAGATTTTTGATTACTATCATCGTGCTCAATATTTGTATGAAGGCATGATCCTTTATTTGGATTTAGCAAAATTTTCAGATGAAGAAAAGCAAAAATGTATTGATACATTTTCTGATGTATCCAATCAAGTATACAGAGTAGTTGATCAATTCCTCAGAGATTATGAACTACCAGCAGTATCTATCAAACATTGTCGTCCTTTCTCCTACTTTTATAGAGATACATTAAATAACTGTATAATCCTGCTTACTGCAACATTTAGCAATGTCATTCGTTGCGTACAATCAGGAATCAAGAAAATCTGGGAAAATTATAAAGATAAAGTATATCCAGATTTCTTTGATTCCGGTTATTATAGAGATGTATTCGATCAGGATTATCTTTTTGGCGAAATGGATTTCAACACTCCTTATTATTTTGGTAAAAAGGAAGATTTTGAAAGACTCATAAAACAAATAAACTCGAAGACATCTACAATTGTTGAAAGATCTTCCGATCTTCAGACTCTTAATAGAAATTGTGAAGAACCTACTGTCAAGGAAATCGAGAATTCAATTTAGGAAATTTGTTTACGTGGGACTACCTGTTCAAAAACGTCGCCTTTTCCTATTTCTGCAAATTCTATAGATTTCAATGCAATTAAGGGTGCGCGGGAGACGATAAGTCACCCTCAGAAAAGTACTTTTAAGGTTAATATATTGGATGCTTCTAAACTTTCCATTCCACACATTGCAATATGATTAAGGTTAATTTTGAGTAGTTTACCTATCGTCGCCTGGGCACCCTTAATACCGGAATCAAAATTTCGAAATTTTGTAATTTGAGATGTTTACATCTTATCAAATTTAGAGATTAAATAAAGTGAATAATTTTCATTATAATTGAATTTTATTTTGTAACGTGCACGCTTTTATTATTCTATGAAACCGATACTTTTTTTTGATCTAAAAGTGCCAAAATTTTTTGAATGATTCTTAATGATTATCATAAACATGCTTATACGCAAGAAAACGCATCTTTATATCGTAGCGTTGCCAACAGGTGCTCATATCCATTGCATGTATCAAAGTATTATCAACGTCATGTCTATGAAGCCCAAGAATGGTTAAATTCAATTGATTTTACTATTTCGAATAGAGAGCTTTTCAAATACTACTCGGTCTCAAGATTTTTCTTCGAAGGAATGATATTATATTTAGATTTGAGAAAATTTTCAGAAGAAGAAATTTCATCAGTACTTGAAACACTTATTAATCTTACCAACGAAGTAAATAAGTACATACAGCCATTTCTTGCAAATTACAAAACACATGTTCGAAAAATTTATTACTTAAGACGAGAGGTTATCGATTTTGTAATTTAATCGTCGTCGTTATCGATTTTGTAATTTAATCGTTATCGTCTTTTTCTAAACGTGCATTTTTACATTAAAAGCAATGCAACTCCAAAATTAATTGGTATTTAGACTTTAATTAGGTGCAGACAAACGAAATGCAGTCCAAATATTTTGGTGATATATGAATTACATAAATTTAGGGAAATTGAAATTATATCTTTTTAAATTTTTAGGAAAACAGATTTATAGAATTGTTTAAGTCATCAAAATAATGCAGACTTAGGTCAAATTTTCCAAATTTAATCATTTGCAAGACTTTCAAGCGACTTCAAAATGTCGAAATATAAGTCCAAAAATAAAATTACGATTACAGTCTATCCTCAATTATTATCACGCTAATTATTGAGTGACCCATGCGTTCGTATGTATGTAATACCTTTTAAAAAGGAGATGAGAGAGATAAACTACATTTACAATTTAAATCTGATGTATTTACTTGTTACATTTACAAATGTAAATGTTTCTCGTAATGTTTACATTTTGTAAGTATAACGAATAAAAATGACGCACTTTTTTTACAAAGTCAAATTATGCGATACAACTTTACTTGTTACATTTACAAATGTAAATGTTTCTCGTAATGTTTACATTTTGTAAGTATAACGAATAAAAATGACGCACTTTTTTTACAAAGTCAAATTATGCGATACAACTTTACTTGTTACATTTACAAATGTAAATGTTTCTCGTAATGTTTACATTTTGTAAGTATAACGAATAAAAATGACGCACTTTTTTTACAAAGTCAAATTATTGTTCGATTTTTGCAGCTTGTAAACGATTAATTGTATAAAGCAATTGATATTAGCACGATATAACTGAATAATTCTAATATTGAAATCAAAAGCCCTTAAAATATCATGATATTTTAATTTCATAACAAATCTAGGAGACTATTTGATGAAAACATATCCGATGTGGGTTTTGTTGTATTATATAACTTGTTATTGACTTCTTAGCTTTCCAAATTTTTTTCGATAATGAGAAAACGAATGAAAAATCAACATTTGGTCCATTTAAAATTTGATTTGTTTACATTTTTTTACTTTTTGAATTTCAATTTATATTTTCCTCAAGAAATACTTTAGATTTTAAGAAACTAAATCATATAATCTACTAAGAAAATATATTAAATCCTATAATACTCAAAGTTTTGTGATAAATCAGATCTTTTTTATTTTACTTTTATTATGTTTTTGCAAACTTAAGGTCCTCACTAGGTAAAACATAATACTCTTTGAAGTTAAGTATTTTCACAAAGAGAGGACCAACAATATCAAAAGATTGAATAAAGATTTGTATTATTTTATTTATTTTTAAGAACATGTTTAAGAACCCTCATTATCTCCACGAATATTGCATATTTTTCTATTCTAAGACCACCAAAATTACGTTTTAATATAGAAAATAACATATTTATGTGATGCTAAAGTCGAAGTCCTTAAAAAATTAGTGTTAAACATCCTATTGTTAAATAAATTTTTTAAAAACCTTAATAGGATAAAAAAAAAGAATTTACACTCTCTCACTTTGAAAACGTAGAAAATGCCAATCTATTGGTATACATTTTAGTTTTGTTAAGTTTACAAAACGATTACTCTAGATTTTAAAGATTTATCAAGAATTTAGAGAATATCCTTCTCAAAACAACTTTAATAGCGAAGGATTAGTATTGAATCGGATTTGTAACATAATTATAGTACATTACAATACAATTTCTCCGACTTTTAAATATTTTTGAAATATTTACAAAATATGCTCTTTCTATCATCGATACTTTAATACAGAGCAAATTTAGTAAATGTCATCACGTTATTTTTTCATAAATCGTTTTCGAACTTTTGAAATATTTATTTTAAACCAGTTTTCTACATTTAATATGTGAATTATATCAAAAGTAGATGGGCGATACTTGTAAATCTATTTAAACTATTAGTTTGCTATTATTGAAGAACTTTATAATTTTTTTTTCTTATGTATGGAATTAAAGATAATTTTGCCGATTCCAACTGGTTTTTCTATATGAGTTAAATATGCCAAGTGAAATCGGACTTGCCAATATTGTAAATTGAAGTATGGACTATATATCGATTTTCATTGATTGATGAATAACTCGGAGTAATGTAATTGTTGATAATGAAAAATAGTTTTCAATTGCTGGTAAGGGCCAATGTATGTTCAATAGCTCCGAAAGCAAAAAATGCACGTTTAGAAAAAGACGATAACGATTAAATTACAAAATCGATAACGACGACGATTAAATTACAAAATCAATAATGACCCACTTAAGACATTTCAAATTCTGTTTTGAAGAAAAGTTAGATGAAAGCATCCTTATCCTTACCAAATACATTTATGAGCTCATGAATTGCATTCAAAAATGTATTAAGTTAATTTGGGATAAATATCATGATAAAGTTTATCCAGAATTCGTGAATACAAATTATTATAAATCAATTTTCGATGAGAAAGAATTCTTTTTTGGTAAAATTGATCCATATCCTCCTTATTTTTATGGTCAAAAAGAAGATTATGAATCTATCGCAAATAGACAAAATTCTGCACAAATCACATTATTAGACACTCAGGCATCTGTTTCTGGTGAGAAAGAATGTCAAATCGAGCAACCTAACATCGAAATCGTTGAAAAACGAACTGCAAACATAGGTTCTCCCTTAATTGCATGAGATGTAACCCTAAATTAATTCTTCATGGTCATGATATAAACAGTTACTTTTTAGAATTGTCATATTTATTATCAAAAATAAAATATAATATTATATTATTTCATGACTTATAATTAAAGTTATTATATTAGTGCAATATAAGTTATAATATTATATTATGGTGCATTGCGTAGAATTGCCAGAAAACTCCTATTGGTGGATATGTTCAATTTTAATAATTGTGAGGATGGGACTGGAACCTTAACATATACTTTATATCGAGAACTTCATGTTACTCTATGAAAGCTCGATATTAAAAAACCTATAATTCGTTTATAATTCTCACTTATGCCAAATAAGAAGTGTGGTGTCACTCCGAGGTGTAACCCCCTGCATTTTCTTTCGTTAAAAATTCGGCGATACCTTAGTACATTTATTGAGCTCACATAGATATTTAGAGAATAGTTGATATTGATGATGTTTTGTACAGGACATGATGTATAAATTTATTAAGATTATTTAGTTAAATATTGTCATGTACTTTTGATATATTGGAGATTTCTAACATATTTATAGATTTTTGGTTTTTTAGGTCATTCTGTATCAATTGTGATTAACCTTTGTTATGTTCAAATATCTGTGAAAACTATAAAATGATAATAATAAGTTAACATAAAATTCAAAAAAATTCTTTATGTTTCACCGAATTCGTCATCATCGACGTCATCATCGTCATCGTCATCATTGTCTTCATCATCTTCCTTATCCATATTCATCTTAGACTTCTGATCAGTCAAAAGAGGTGCGAGAGACTGCTGCAAGTCTTTATTCTTGTCGTTGTAAACTTCTGCTTCTTCATCAGGATTTGCTTGTAGCCAGTCTTCTCCTTCTTTGATGATTCTCTTCAAGGACCTTCTTTGTTCATTAGAAAGTCTGTCTTTTGTCTCATCCTTGTTCAAGTTGTTCTTAGCAGCCGCAATCATTGAATCAAGAGATAATCTTGCTTGTACAGATTCTCTTTCTTGTCGAAATTTCTATCCATCACTACGAAAAATGGCATATGGCCTAAAGGGTATATCTAATTATGATATGAAATCATTTTCATTTCCATATTTATGAGAAAAGGATGCTATATCTAATGATCAACCAGTTGCAATAAGTGCTAAATTATAATAAGAATTCCAATATTTAGAATGCTTAATCAATTCACTAATAAATCATTGTTTTATTTTAATATTTAATTTCTACCATAAAATATGTCAATGAAAGAGTTACTTAATAAATAATATACGAAAATATTGACCTTTATACAAAACAAACATATAAAAAGAACAAAACGAATCTATATAAGAATTAAAACTTGATTCTCCAGGTAGTATTTGTCTTAATCGAATAACTGTAGTTCATATATGCGTAGCTGGATCAGAATTTCAATATTTAGTGTTCTGATTATTTTTCTTGCTTTTGATTTGGATTTTTATTATGATCTGCTAAGTTTAGTGGTTCTAACTCAGATTCAAGCGCAGATCTGACTAATTTCATATTCTCGACTCGTAATAAATTATGTGCGTGAATGAATAAGAATAAATTCAATGCATCAGTTATTATACCAATTACTGCAAGGAAGAAATGGAAAAATGATCCGAGTCCAACAGCTAAAAGAGCATTAACTATCCAAATTGCAAAAGAAAGAATGGAAACAAGCCAAAACAAATTGGAATCTGTAGGATTTGGGACGAATGGTGGAGGTTTTGATAGAGATTGAATAAGTGATCCAGATTCAAAATCTGTTTCGATATACCATCCTAATCCGATTAATTGAGGTCCACCAACATTTTTTGTGTTTAAGAAATCAATTGCTAATGCAGAAATGTAAGCTAGAAAACCAAGAGTGCTTTTATTTCGTCTTGAAAGAAGGAAAAGAAACAGGATGATGGAGAACAATTTGCAAACAATAAACATCATGGACAGAAACTTATTTGTCCAAAATGAGTTGCTTGTTTCATATGATAAAGTTTCCACGTTTTCCATAATTTTTTTTCTCAAAAAAAAAGTATATTACAATTCTATTTTGTTTCACCAAATCCTCCATTGTCCATATAGAATTCTTAATATAATGTCTCGATATCCACTTTTTTTGTTTGCATGAAGAGATTGGCTAAAATGGGAATCGTCATCCACTTAGCATTAAACAACATTAGGATTTTATATTGAATTAATGATATAGAATCGGCTTTTGGCATTCAAGTTTAATCATTATTTTCATCATTGCTTTTTTCGTTAAAATAGGAATCAAACTATCTACATACCTAATCCATACAGATGATTTGCGAGGAAAAATCATATGGAAGAAGGTTACAATTGACTGATATGAAAATTTCTGATATTGATTGAAATTTCAAATCTCTTTGAAATTTTTAAACAATTTCTTATTCAGCAAAATAATATTTTTATTATTGATACTATAATTTGTATTGAATTGATGCTTCCAGAAATTGAAAGAGTCGTAATTCAAACACAATTCAAATATTGATAAGATGCATTAAAGGATTTTATTCTTATATGTACACGCAAAGAGTTAAATCACAAAATCATAGTTTTTCCGGCGGCACTAAATAAAATTTGAAAAACTATTTAGTCATATGTTTTTATTGCTTTTTTCTTTTGCAGAACAAAAAAGATACGAAAAAATATCGGATTTGATCTATGCAACAAGGACTTATGACGTAGGAATCTATGAATTTACGTTAAACGGAGCTGCAGGCGGATGCGGGTGCAGAGAAGGTACACAAAGAACAGTTGGTGGGAATGGTGCTTCAATAACAGCTTTATTAAGATTCACGCGAAAAACAGTCGTCAATTTCGAAATAGGATCAAAATCGGATGGTGATTGTAAAAGATATAATGAGGGAGGAAAACCAAATGGTGGAAACAGCGGGAATGATTATAATTTTATAGGAAATGATGCCTCTGGGAGTGGTGGAGGAATGACAGCTATTAAGATTGGATATGATTACATTTTGATTGCTGGGGGAGGTTCAGGAGGCGCTGGAATGTTCAATGGAGCACATGGTGGAGGATTAGGATATGTTTTACGTGTAGGCGTAAATGGTCAAATTGTAACCACTAAACAAAAATATCTTATGGGTGAACATGCAGGGGGAAAGGGGGATTTTGGGTTGATAACAGCGGGTTCAGGTGGTGGAGGAGGGTGGAATGGTGGTAAGGGAGGAAAAGCCAGCGATGAAACTAATCCAGAAGTTTGTGGTTTTGGAGGTACATCAGATTATAAGTTGAATTCTATCTATATCATCAATACTCCTACAGCATTAGATGGAAGATTTACAAATAATACAGGAGATGGATCTGTAATTGTTGTGCAAAAATCTATCCGTGAGACAGTACCTGAAAATAATCGTAAGCCAAGAAAAATTTTAGTTGGGGCTTCTTTGTATTTTTCTTTTTCTGGATCAAATCTCTTTTGAATTCTATTGGTTTTGTTGTTGTTTGCTTTCTCAACAAGCTAAGAGAATCCGCTTAGTAATTATTTCGTAAATGGATATATGAACTTTATATATATATGAAAATTATTGCTTGAATCGATAAACATGTAAAAATTTGAATCTCATATTTTTTTTAATTCGAATTTGACAAACAAGAATATTAAATTTTAAATAATATAACATAATAAATGAAAATGGCGAAAACTTTCTACATGCAGACATTTGATAAATCATAATTCGCTAATAATCGCAAGGTTAGTCATTAATCAGTCGACACATATTTCATTCAAACAGAGTTGTATAATATCCCATTTTCTTGAATTATTACTAAACTAATGAAGAATAACAAATTATTATTATTTTAAATTATTTGAAAAACTATTTTGTTCATTTGCCACGAACATATTACACAACAGTATTACATGAATTTATTTGTATTGATTTAAAATAAAGTTAATTAAATAATCAAAATATTTTTTTATATTAACAGATATATATATTAATAACAATAACAAATATATAAATAAAAACAAAAATATATAAAATTACTTAGGAGATCTGGCTGAATTTGGAGGAACTCTGAAATTTCTTTGTTTTACTTCTCCTCTTGGAGTTCTTGCGCTGTCTCCACGTGGAGTTAACCTTGCAGTTGCACTCCTTGGAGTCTGTCGACCAGAATCCAATCTTCCTGATGTAACAAAGAAAGGAGGAATGTATTCGGGAACTTGTCCTTTCAAATTAAAAACAAATTGTCTTTCTTTTGTATCGATAATCAATGTTGCTTCCATTTTCTTTCCATATTGTCTTGGCCTGAAATAGACAGTCAAAGGAAGTTCTGTCATCATTAGGGAGAACCTGGATTGCTCTGTTGCTGATATAAATCCATCGCTTGGATTCACAGAAAAATCGTTTGATCCGCCCTTCATAATGTAAGCTCTAAATTGTTCTCTTCTTGGGAATATTTCGCGAACGTAAGGTCTCAATGATGCACAAGAATTCAATGCACATTCCATGATATATGTTTCACATGGCTCAGGTGGATCGCTCCTCAACAAAAGAGGGAATGTCCATTGTTGTTTTAAGTCGTTTTGAACAAGAATTTGGCATCTTATATCAACAGGTCTTTTCGGTTTAAATTCCAAATCTAAGATGACTTTTCCTTGTTCTTTCGTTGATTTGTAATCAACATAATTCGTTATCCATTGATATTCCTCGTCATCTGCTTTGATCCAAGTAGAAATCTTTGCACCGCCTCTTTCTCCTTCGATAGGAAGAACAAATTTTTCTTTCGAAATTTCGTTTGCACGGCCGTTGACGACAAATTCTCTTTGAACAAAATTCTTCTTGTCATCTTCCGAAATTCCTATCAAAGGAACAGACCAAACAATAGGAGGTTCAATCTCTTGAGCATTAATGAAACACTCTGCTTCATATTTTCCTGATTTCTGCGGCTGGAAAAGAAGAGAAATCGTTTCGATTTGGCCACGATTTCTCATTACAAAATTCAAATTCTTGTTTATGAAATCGAAATTCTTCAATTGATTCGACAAACTCAACGAGAATTTGACAGGGAATGGGAATGGAGATGTGAAATTGAAGCTGGTGCACATCATCTGCAAAGGAGGAGCTTCAAAGATCATTGGACTAAGCGGTTGTGGTGGTTTTCCAATACCAATGATTGAATAAGTCATTTCACCTAATTCAGGAGAATTAAACATGAACAAACCACATTCTTTCAAGCCTACAGAAGCAGCTCTGAATACGACAGGGATTGTTACAGTGTCATTTGGCTGTATTTCGAATTTATCTTTGACCAAAAGTTCGAAAAACATTGGAGAAGAGTTTGAAACAGAGAAATGACATAAAACTTGGAGTGGATTTGAAATTTTGATTTCTGTTCTTTCTTCTTCTCCAACGACACAATACAGTGTCTTCAAACTCATGACATCTGCTGGCTCTGTATAGAGTTTCAACAAATAGACATATTCTCCTGCTGTTTCTGATACGAATCTGATGTAAGTTTCTTTAAATCCTGAAGATAAAGGACAGAAAACAGCTTTGTAAACACTGGCAGAATTTCCTTGGATAAAGAATTTTCTATCACCATAAATATCTTTGTCATCGAAACAAACATCGAAAGTGAGATCAACATTCGAAGGATTAACAACAGGTATTTCGAATGTTGTTGATTGCTTTGCGAGTCCTTGAACAGTTATTGTATCAGATGGTTTCGGATATTCGAAGTCAATTCGAACAGCCCACCAAAAATACAATCCTGTTTTATCATCCCTGCAAATGATTTTTCCTGCAGCAACACCAGTTATTGGGGACATTATTTCCAATTGGAAACTCTTCTGAACACATTTTCCTTCTTTGTATTCGAGATATTCCGGAAAAGTAACATAAGCAACATCACATTCGACATTAAGTTTTCCATCAACTTGGAAAAGAGGAGTTTCAACTTCGACAATTTTCCTTTCTCTTGCTTTGCAACTAACAACAATTGTATCTATAGATGGCGGGTCATCTATATTTGCTGTGATTTTGTAAATTGTTGTTTGTTCTTTTGTCATATTAAAAACAGTTAAATCTGTAACAAAAACACCTTTTTTGTTGGAATAAATCGTAAGAGGTAATTCTCCAGTTGTTTGTCCATTTACGAAGAATCTCTGAGGGAAAGTAAAAACTTTTTCATCAGTCGAAGAAATCTTAAATGTCCATGTAGATTTCGAAGTATTTTGGAGAGGAATGTTTTGTACAATTGTGTTTCCTAAATAAGAATCAACACTTATTCTAAATGTCTTTGTTTCGCCAAGACTTACTCCATTGGATTTATAAACTCTTATGTCATTGTTTGATTTCATAACAATTGTACATGGATAATCACCTGGTAAAACAGGACAAAAAGTAACAGGCAGCATATGTTTTTCTTTGTCAATTGTTAAACTAGAAGGAATCTTATAAAAGGTCTGTAAACCGTTTTCTATCGTAAAAGTGACATTTGTAAAACAATTCAAAGCAATTGTTGCAATTTCACGAGATTTAAATTCCACGAATTGTTTGAATCTTTGCTCAGAAATGAAACTTTCGTTTTGTGCTTTTTTGACAATAGAATAAGCAATTGATTTGCAAAGATCTGAATTGACTAATTGCAAGTTTTGTTGGATTGTTTTCTCTGTTCTTTCTTCTATCTTTATCTTAGGAATTTCTATTTCAGTTGGCAAACTTGACATTGCGTTTATTTGGTACAAAAATTCTTTCTCGTCTTTGGATTTGAAAAAAATTAAACAATAATATTCTCCAACATTTATTGGAATAAAATCTCCTGTAATAGTGACTTCGCTTTTATCTGTTTCGAAATAAACTTCTGTTTCTTTTAGAATGAATGTTGAATGATCATTTATGAAAACGTCAAACTCATTTTTGCTCAATTTGTTGGAGAAATCATAATCAGGATTTTCAATGAATTCTATAACTTTTTGGGAAAAGTTTTCTTGTCCGAAAATTGTTCTTGTAAAGATTTCGAATGTTCCTGGTTTAATAAGTTCATTCTTAACAGTAATATTGAACTTTGTAACTTCATAACATTTACCAGAAACATTTACAATCTGAGAAGGAACTTTTGCATCGACATTCGACCTCATTTCGATGACAATTGGTGTTGCTAACATCGGCATTGAATTTTTAGCGGTTGGCGGTTTTGGTTTGTTTGTACTTGATGCCAACGATGTTCTGCTTTGTTTCAGTTTAATTCTACTATCTGTTCTAGATTCGTTTTTGACCAAAACATCAATTTCTTCCGATTTTTGTGAATTCAAAAAGTGACGAGGAGTCAAAGTTAAAGTTGCAGTTTCAAGTAAATGAGTTCTTGCGTAGTATTCAACAAAGAAAGTCTGTAATTGATGAGCAGGAACTAAAACAAATGTCTTTGGCAATGTGAAATTATCAGAACCAGTAATTGTTGCATCATATCTAAGTTTTTGAGATGAAGGATTGGAAATTTCAATCATTTGTTGGCAATTCTTTGATAAATTACATGAGAAAACTAAATCTGTTGTATTTGCATAATGAGGCAAATATTGGAAAAGTGAAAAACAGAAAAGTGACAAAGAAATTAAGTCTTCATTTTCGATCATTTCTTCTGACAAATTAAACTTCAAATTGATTTCTTTTGCTTTGTTCAATATCAATTCAAGGTTTTGTCTATGATCATTTTCTGTTTTAGGATTCAAATTCAATTGTAAATCCATTCTTTGGACATGATTTTTGAATAAACTTGCTATTACTCGACAATCAGATAATTGTTCGAATGAAGTAATTATATTTACTTCACTGTTCTTCCTGAAGTAATCGTAGTTTATTGTCAACCATTCGAGCATTATTGATTCGATGTTCGTGTAGCAATTTGATGTCAAAACTTCTTTAGTTTTTCGGTGGATTTCAGTCATTACTTCGTTAGGTAAAATTTCCTTTAATTCCAAAAGTTTTTGTGAAATTCCTGGAACTTGATTGACGTCTTCGCAGTTGAGTGTTGGGAACAAAAACACTTTGAATATCTGCAAAATGACAGTTAACCAACTATCACCTGAAATTTTATCATAGTTTTGATCATAAAATGACAATTTTTGTATCAAATTGTCAGAAAAAATCGGGGTTGAAGTGAAGTCATTCATTAATTGTGGATTATAAGATTTGATTGAAGGACTTCCATAATAATTCAATCCCAAAATCTTTTCAGTAACTTTTGTTCTCATGTACTGCAAAAACAAATCTTTTGGCAACAAAAATTCCGGCAAAACATTTTGGAGATGACAACCAACACTTTTCAAGAAATTTATCATTGATTTAAGACGTTCGTATTTGTTCTGCAAAATATCATTTGTTTTAGATGTTTTGAACATTTGCAGCATTCCTTGTGGTTTGTTTTGCACCCCACATATATTCTCAATGATTTCTTGAACTGTCAAACCGCAATTTGACACAAGATCTCCTGGAAAATTGTCAATTTTATTTGTCAAAACTAGACAATTCAGGAAATCTTTTACAGTTTGTTTCAAAGTTGGAGTTAATATTGGTTGTATGTCACCTTTTGTATCATCAACGATCAATGACGATAAATAATCAGGTTTGAACATTTTTGTAAGTGGTTGACAAACGATAGGTTTTGATGGTTGTGACACAAATTTATGTTTGTTATTTAACAAGAAAGGATATAGAGTTAGAACAGAATTATCAGTACCGCAATAAACAGTAAATGAATAAGTGCAACCATTTTCAGCAACCAACAAAACTTGTGTGACAAAACTTATTGGTTTTCCTGAAAGAAAAGATATCTTCAGAGGAAGTGAAGTGGTTGAATGACTGAAATAATTTCCATTTGTAAACAAAATTTCCAAAGGAAAAGTTTTGTCACTTACACTCTTCTTGATATCAATTTTTCCTTCAATTGCGGCAGAATTAATGACTTCAATGGTCACTTCACTTCTGACATTCAAAGGAACTATTGGAAGTACAACATTTTCTTGAGATGTCTTGAATAATCTATCAGTTCCAACTCCTGTCAACATTATTGTTGTTACTTTCACCTCACCTTTTTCACTTTCCGCGTAAACTGTTATATAACCAACGAATGGACCAGGTTTTGTTGGACTAAATGATACAAATCTGTCTTCTGTTCCGCAATAAGATAAAAAACCTGTTTCTTGATCAACTCCGAAATCTTCTGATGAAGGTTTATCAAATCTATATTTAATTCCTGTTTGGCTTTCATTTTTAAGTAATAAATGCTTGAAACAAGGTCTTGTATTTGGATTCTTCTCATTTTTAAGTGTGACAACACCGAAATCAACAAAGTTTTCTGATATAGAAAGAGGTGAATGCATAGCAACAGCTGTAACTTTCTTCTTCGCAAGTGTTGATGTTCCTTGTAATCCAATCAAAGTGAAATAAATATCAAAACTGAAATCTCCAACATCCAAAGGTTTGAAAACTAAATTTACATCAATTGTAGTCTTTGGATGTATTATAAAAGTATATTCGCAACCATTTAAAACAGATTGTTTTGATAAACTTGAATTCGTTCTTGCCAAATTACTCTGATTTGTTAAAGTAGAATTGGTTCTTGTTAAATTACTTTGACTTGTTAAAGTAGAATTTGTCCTTGTTAATGAAATAGAGCTACTTTGTTTGGACAAATTATTTGGAGCGAGAACATCGTTTGGACATGTAACAAAAATTTGGTTTGATTTATCAGAAGTTGAAACCATTAAATCTGTGGAATATTCTAAACTGAAATAACTATATTTAGTTAAGTCAATTGAGAACTTTGCTGGAATTAATCCAACATTTTCTATTGAAATCTTTCTGCTTTCATTTGATCCAACAAAAACATTTCCGAAATCCAAACTATCAGTTTTAATTTGGATCAAAGGCATTAAAGACTCTCCAACAACAGAAAATACAACAGGATTCTGGCCAGCTATTTCTACAGTATAGGTTATTTCATAAACTTGAGCTTTTTGTGGATTGAAAGTGAAGTGAAGATCGAAAATATTGTCAGGTTTAATAAAACCTTTGTTTTCCTTCAAATCAATATCATCACAACCATCATTAGAGAATACATTGAAGATTGCTGTGTTTTTACCTTGATTTTTAAGAGAAACAGTAAATTCTTTTGTCATTCCAAGCGGCAAAATTCCAATGTCAAATTTCTTTTTTTCTACTGTCACTTTTACATCTCCACAATTTCCTCTTAATTGAAGAGATTTTCCTCCACCACCTGTAAACGATAACTTGACAGTTTGCTCAGAATATGGTTTAGATCCTGGTCTATAAATAATCATTGTTTTTGCATTAGAATTAGGATTAATTTTTCCTCGTTCTGAATCAACAGAAAAAGTGGTATCGTCAAACGATAGCCATTTATAATCAACAATAGCTGTTGAATCATTCATTATATTTATTGTCTTGCAAACAGTCAAGTCTGTATAGTTTTCATTAGGGAAAGTGAAGTCAAGTAAATCTTCTGACAAATTAACTTCAATAGGAATTGCATCAGCAACAACATCAAATTGGAAACCATGTGATTTATTAACAGTATAATGTATTGTTTGTCTAAATTCACCAACATTTTCTGACATGAAAATTATATCAAAACCTGCAGTTTGTTTAGGGGGAACAACCTGAGATAAAGGGGTACTTAAACTTAATTCTTGGCTCTCATATTCCATTGTTACTAAAATGAATTGGTTCAAAGTATTCGTTATATTAAAAGATCTCCTTTGTTTCGACAAAATCGAAACTCTTCCGAAATCAATTGGTTTCGAAGACATAACAAGAGACATTTGTTGAACAGGACTTAATACTCTCTGGCATTCAGTGATTTCTGGTGGAGTTACCGGGTTACTTTTGAACTTCTTCTCGATGAAAACAGTTGGAGGAAGCGGTTGTAATGTTTTTGTTTTTTTGGATTTGTGAATTTTTGTTTCTAATGGATAGTTTGGTTCTGGTTCTACTAATCCTTCTGCATGTTTTAAGTTCAGATTGACTTCTTCTATTTCTTTTGTATTAGTCATTGCTTCTCTGACCTTTTGAGTTACGTAAGTTCTAAGTTCTTCATCAGTTTTTCCTTTTTCTTTTCCTATTTTTTCAAATCTTTCTTTCAGAGTTTTCTTCATTCGAAGTTTTTCGTGTTTTTGAGCACTTTCTATCAATATTCTTCTATTGTCTTCGTTCTGTTTCTGCTTAATGATTATTTCTTCTTTAGACAAACCATATTTTCCCGGATGATTCGCTGCATATCTTGCAGATTCTGACATTTCGTAAATTGGTGTTCTGACAAATTTTTCTGTGATTTCTTCTGCAGTTCCTGTACCTATTAAGTTCAAATTTATCCTTTTAAGACCATTACATAAATTAACATTCGTCTGTGCATCATAAACTCCTATTGATTTTGGATAAAAAGTGACAACAATACTTTTGACAGTTTTCGGTTTTATTAAACCAGATTCAGGTGTAAATCTAAATGCAGCCATAGGTTTTATCGAGTAGGTCACATTTTGGAATTCAGACTCGTTTTCAATTGTCAAATTTTTTTCTTTTTTCGTTTCAATTTTTTGATTTCCAAAAATGAAATCAACATCAGGAATTGAAACAGAAAGAGGTACAGCGGAACCTGTCATGTTTAAAGGAATTTGTTGGTCAACACCCGAGAGTTTGATATTAGACACAAAGTTGTATATCATCTCTCTTTCGACATTTTGACTTGGGGGTTCAAAAATCAAAGTTATAATTGCAGAACCATTTGGATTTAACTGTCCTTCATTAGGAGTTATAGTAAAAACACATTCTGAGCTTGTACCAATTGATGTTTTAGTAGTACTTAATCGAGAATTTGCTTTGCTTTCGATTGGTTGAGATATTGAATAAATTCTTTTGTCTTTTGATTTGTTTTGTATAGTAACAGTAATAACTTTGCGTTGTGTAAAGTATATTTGACCAAAATCGATTTCTTTTGTATCTTTTCCGTTATATTGGATACTTGCTACTTGTTGTAAGATTTCTCCGGAGACATTTAGTGGTGGAAGTTTGTTATTAGAGTTCTTTAAATCGACATTGATAGTAAATTTGAATTTTCCTGCTTTTTTTATGACAAATGAAAACTCAACTTCGACAGCTTCTCCAACTGGCAGTATTCCTGATGCAATATTGAATGTAACTATTGGACTACTGCATCGTAATGCAAATTCTCCTGCTTTACTCCCAAAGTTTGCAATTGAGAAAGTTTTCGTTACTTTGTTACCTTCTGGTATTAATCCGCAATCAATGTTTTGTACGTTTAAGTGAACTTGTGCTGATGGCGGATAAGCTGTAATTGGAACAGATATCGATGAAGTAGATGCAGAAATTATTAATTCGCTCTTTTTTATCTCGTTAGTTGTGGCGACATATTGGATACAGACTTTTGCTTCTAATCCTGATGCTAACATTGCAATTTTCGGTGAAATAATTTCAAATGGAGAATCATATGGCACTGAAAACCGTACTTTAATCGGTTTCTTTCCGATGTAGTGAATCCATACATCTATTTTATCCTTATCTCCAACAGTGAGGTCCCTGAAAATGATTTCGTCCGGGACAATTCGAATATCGCCGTTCGAAAGCATCAGAGTACACCGATTATTGTAAAGGAATTAGAAAACGTGCGCAATTTTTTATATAAAAAGTGACAAATCAAACATAAATTCCTCGAAAAACCATTAACTAAACGGAATTTCAATATTCCATATCGCATAAAAGCTTCATAAACAAGACCTCATTGCATATTTTCTTACAAATTTTATTGTAAAATCATATATAAACAAAATTTCAAAATTGTATTCGAATACGAAGTTTGGAAGACTGAAGTTGATTTGAACAAAACAAAACATTCGTATTCTCGCAGATTAAATAATTTTTGCCAGAATATTTCAGTTAATGATAGTTAAACAATGTTACAAAGTAGCATAGAAGATGTGTTACAAACGTTTTGACTACTATTTCTATTAAAAAAAAGTTTCTAAATTTTTAATTTTAAAAACTACAGTTTACATATGATGGAACAACATATATAAAATCAGTAGTGCCAAAAAATGAAAAACGAAAACTTGTATATCTATTTTAGTCCTTCAGCTCTGATCCGCCGATGAACTCACGGATGCATGAGTTACGTGGCACGATCTCAGGAGAGAGCGGGTAGCAGAGGTTGATGAGACTGAGAAGTCTCCTTGCCTCAGCCGTGATGTCCTTTGCCTCTTCTGTGTTTGGATCTTCATCTTCAGCTGGCATTGTTGCTTCGGAGAGAAGAACGCGAGCGTAGACAGAGAGAACAGGGAGTTCGTAAACGAGGGATGAGTTGAAGAAGAGTTCAGCGTTTCCTTGATAAGGGAAAATGTTTCTTTCTTCACCAACTCTGACGGATGTCCATCTTCTGAGGGTCTTTCTTGCACTGCAACCTCTGAATTGGTTATCTCTGATGATTCTACGGATCAATCTGAGATCTGATGTTGGATATCTGTGGTTGTAATCGATGTTAACTGGTGTAAGTGCGCTAACGTAAATTGGTGTAACAGATGTTGTACCGATATGCTGAAGAAGTTCTGGATTAAGACCATGGATACCTTCGAGGATCAAGAAAGCTCCTGGTTCAAGAATGATACGCTTCTTTGGATCATCTTCACCACGGCTACGCTTGAAGTTGTACTTACGGACTGGAACTGGCTCGCCAGCCAATAATTTGTGAACGCGCTCAGCAAGAAGCTCAACGTTCATCGCGGAGATGTGCTCGAGATCCTGAAGGCCATCTGGACCGTATGGGATCTTATCGCCATCCTGGAAGTAATCGTCCATTTCGATGATGGTTGAAGAGTAACCAGCGACTTTGAGCTGTACATCGAGGCGCTTTGCGAATGTTGTCTTGTTGGAAGATGAAGGACCAGCGATTGTAATGACTCTCTTCTTATCAAAATTAGAACATAATTTTTCAGCGAGCATAGCGAGTTTTCTCTCATGGAGACCTTCGGCAACGAGCTTGATATCCTTGATAGCACCGTTGAAGATGGCTTGGTTAAGCTTGGAAACGTTTTCTACGTTCAAAAGTTTTGCCCATTCGCCGTATTCATTGAACATCTCATGCAAGACTGTTGGGTCCTTCCATTCCTTGATGCCTGTTGGGTTGAGCATTGTTGGGAGTCTGAGAAGAAGGCCATTGTTGTATAAACGAATTTCGAAAACATCTAAGACGGACTTTTCTGTAGAGACTGGCTCGATAACGTAATCCATGAATTCTCCGCATTTAATGACTGGAATATTAGCATCCTGCCATGCCTTGAGAACTCCTAACTTATCTTGAAGTCCTTGTTGAGAGAAGTATTTGATAACTTCCTCACGTGGAAGTGTTGTGAGCTCAATTGGTGTTTCTGACTGGAAAATTGCGTGAAGCTCCTTTTCGAGTTGAGCAATTTGTTCTTCTGTGATTGGTACTCCGGAGTTATCCATGAAGTAGAAGCCATCACCAAGGGAGTGCTCGATTCTCAAGAGTCTGTTGAAAAGCTTGCGGTAAATGCTTGTGATTAAGAAATTTACTGTTGCATGGCGAGAAAGAAGCTGTGTACGAGTGACTTTCTCATCACGTGGGTCATGGATCTTCTCAAGTGGGAACTCAGTAAGATCAAGAGAAGGCTGATATTGGATATTAGCCATAAATTAAGACTGATTTCAAGTGAGCGGTTTTTTGATAACTTCATCGTTTTTTGATATTGGCGAACGATACAAGATTTCATAAGCTATTTTTGCTTAAATGACTGAAATTATAATGTCTTTTCTCATAAATAGTCTTTAATCAAATGGGTAGTTTGGATTTGAGTGGAGAAATATTTGTTCATTTTTAAAAATTCGATTTCATTCCAAATAAGTATAAAAACATCTATATGTACGAGTTTCTTTATAAAAATTTTCATATGACAAGTTCGTATCTCGAAATTTAAAAATTATTTTCAACAAATATGCATTATTATTAAATAGTTCAACGGGAAATAATGCAATATTATTGAAAATAAATACAAAAATCAGCAAATATTGCAATATTATTTATAAGTATTCGAGTGAATTAAAAACCGTCTCTGAAAAGTGAAATCAATCTACTAATGTCCCGTGGCGGTCAGATTATGCTCCCAGAAGAACAGATGAAGCAGTTTTATAAGCTTCGTGCTGAAGAAGCAAGACTTGAGGAAAATCTTGGCAAGTTTACTGCTCAATTAGGTCGCGAACTTCAAACACGTCGCACAAAGTATATTACTAGACATGAAGTAGCAAAATTAAATCCATCCACACCAGTTTATCTTTCAGTTGGTAAAGCATTTGTTCTCGATAATGTTCCAAATACATTAGCCACACTTCGTGCGGATCTCGCCAAACAAGATAAATCTATCCTTACAATTAAGAAGGCTGGTATTCATATTGCTGATCAGCAAACCCAGATTAAACTTCAAATTGAAGAACTTGTTAAGCCATATCTTCCGAAATAAGAATAAAATGTTGATAATTAGAATATATTCAACAAATATTAGAGAATTACTAGAATATTTTTGATAAAAAAGCCTATTTTTACATTCAAAATATATTGAAACTAAATCTATGATTTCTTTGGTATTTCCTTCAATACTGGGATTAATATTTCTTATTTTATGAACTAATACCTATGAAATCAAATATGAAAATTAATATAATCTCATTCCATACGTTTAACATTTTATTTGTGGCATGAAACAAATGGAAATAATAAAAACAGGTAAAAACAAAAAAGGTTCATCATAGATTTTGAAAATATTCATGTATTTATTACGAATACGTCTGAGGAAAAAAAATTTAAACGAATTTGGAAAAAGAAAAATCATCCTTCGTTTACGCTTGGGATTAAAAAGATTGGTGCATTGAAGCAACACTTAACTTAAAACGTTTAGAAGAATGAAAAATCGTTCCAAAGATCGAACTGATTATAATCAGTATCGACAGAGGCGAATGATGACTCCTGGACAGTCAGTGATTCGAAGGGATTCTCGAGCGGCCGCGTTTCGGCAACCCTGATCTCCTTCACAACTGGCATTACAACAGGAGTTGTATATTCGACTCTTTGGGTTGGAGGTGGTGAAATCGGTGATTTCTGATGTTTAGCTCTGTGGCGAGCAATCATCATCCAGCGATTTCTAATATTATTGTCAGAACGATTCTTTAAGAACTTTGAAATCTTGTTCCACTTAGGACCGTACTCTGCATACTTCTGATCAAGAAGCATATCTTCCTCGGGAGACCAAGGGTCTGTCCGAAGAGCAGGGTTTATGTAGTTGTTCCAGCGCTCACGGCACTGACGAGGGTTCCTGGTGATCATCAATTGGCTGATGCGGATCCAGTCTTTAGCTCCATATCTCATTACTAATTGTTGAAGCTTAAGATCCTCCTCTTCCGTGAACTTGACTTTGATTACATTGTTCTTCTTCTTGGTTACTCCGTCGCATGGCAACAGAGAACCAGCACCGATGGCCGCGGCAAATCCCGATTCGGAAAGGCCGTCAAACATCATGCGATTAAAGGCACGTCAAAACCCCCATTTGACTCACAAAAATTTGAGAGCGGAATTCTGTAACTCCCAAAAGCGGTTTGCGGCGGTTTTATTCTTTTGTATATGAGCCGATTTAATTTATATATGTGTATAATCATTTTAACAAAATATGAAAAAATTGTTGTCAATTTTTTGTTTTATGAAAGTTGCAGAATATAAATTACGATTTTAAAATAAACTTATCTTCATTTTGTGATAAATTTTTCACTTTTGATAAATTGAAATTAAAATTTTAAAGTTATGCTAATTACTATAGAACAATTAATATCTTAATTTATTAAATATTGTCACTTTTGATTGAATTAAAATCTCCGACGTAAAATTACTATAACTTACAATGCATATAAATAGCATTATATGATGAACCAGAAATCTAATCGGAAACGATTTCTCTTTTTAAATTAACAAAAATTTGAATATCAAGTCAAATTATTGAAGGATCTCTATCAATAATTTTCTCTTTAAACGTTTTTACGATAATTATATTTATACCTAACGGTCTTTTTATTATTTTTAGAATTTCGGAACCATAATATCACCCATATCATAAATAATATCTTAACCTTTGATTATTTTCCTTTACAATCGAAGATTCTTTCAATTCGAAATTTTCAAAACAATCGCAGAGTTAATTTAATACATCTATTTTTCTTTTTAGAATAATGCCGATATGATATTGTCTATCGCTAAACAAATTCTATTTCATAATTCTCAAATTCAATTCCGATTTCTCTTTGGCAAATATTAATATTTGAAATCATCAAACCTTGCATTTAGCACCAATAACGCGTCCTCAAATTTGTTTTTACTATTATTTTTATTCCACCTAAATCCAAATAAAGGAAAGTTATAAGAATGACTGAATTCCCATTTCTTCCTTGTTGGGAATATTACAATATAGATTCATATTTTGTATATTTCGAATAAACTTTAAGTGAATTCAGCAAAGTATTTCTTTTTAATTGGTGCAAATGTCAATTTTCAAAGTGACGAGAGTTTCGATGCAATTGAATATCACATCAATGAGGAAAAAAAAAGATCTTTTGCATTTAAACTGTTCTCCATAATATCAATGGAAAAAATAAATGCGGAGATATCGAATTTCTGATTAATATATAGGTTTTGAACATATCTAAATGATAATTGGCATAGATATTTATGAATCAAATAAATTGCATAAAGGGAAAAAAAATAATTGCACTGCCTGGGAATCGAACCCGGATCAAAAGCTTGGAAGGATCTCATAATAACCACTACACTAGCAGTGCTTTACAATTATCTCTCATTGCATGTTCAAAAGAAGATCATTTTTCACTTTTTCAGTAAAAATTATCAAGGCGATCCAGCAGTAAAAATTTGTTGCTAACAACTCTTCTTTTCAGGTCTTGCAAGTATAGGTAGTTGCTCTCTTCATTATCAGCATTTCATTTTTAAAAGTTTTGAAATTCAATTTCTATAATTTAACTGAAATAAGAAATTGCAAATAAAATGTAACTTACTAGCGTATTACCATATTTTAATGCTGAAATGGAAATATTCAATAAAATTTATTTATATTGCCGCGGGGTTTGTTATGGATGAAAATCGCCGAGTTGCGAAAAAATCCAATCAAAAATTACCCCCACCAATTAGCCTTAGTGATTCTGATTATGGGGACTCTGTTTCTCTTTCATCTATTCATGAAACGAAAAATAAACGGAATCAAGTTTTAGAATATGAGATGTTAATCAAAAATTCGAATATGCAAGTTGATAATATGAAAGAGCAAATACAAAATCTTACTCAAAATTTGATTGATCTCTCATCAAAAGTCGAAAAAATCATTCCTGAAGAAATTAAAACGGCTGTACCTAATCTCGGACAGTCAGATTATGTAATTAGTGTTGTACAACATCTTTCTTCTCTTTATATAGCTAAAACATCATCACAATACACTTCATCTGTAATTCAAAAACTAAATAGCGATAATCAATCAATAATTTTGCAAAATGAGCAATTAAAATCCGAAAATTCACAACTTAAAGCTACAATTGAGGCACTTCATGCTTCCGAAATGCAACGTAACAGAAAGATTCAAGAATCAGAAAGAGTTAGATTGGAAGTTTTACGAGAAAACGAAGCAAAAACTAAACAAATCAACAACATTGAAGCAGAGCGTGTTAGTATCATTCGAAGACTTACAGAAGAACTCAAAAAGAAAGATGTAACAATTGAAAACATAAAAAGATCGAAATTTGGAAAACAAATTCCCACAAACATACCAGAAATAGATCCGCAAAGTACAGTCAAAACAGATGAGCTCATGAAATTCAGCGTTAAACAGTTACAAGACCTCCTAAAAGAAGCTCAAACGAAAGATATCGAAAAAGATAATCGAATCAAGAGCTACGAAAGCAATTTGCTGCAACTCCAAAATGAATTAAAGAATAACATGAAAACAATTTCTGATCTAAAACAAGTAATTGAAGAGAAAAACAGAATTATTTATAATTTTGAGACAAAACAAACAGAAAACAAAAAAGAAAGCGCTTCATCGCTTTCCAATGAGTTACAAGCAACCAAACGGCGTCTGAATGAAGTTTTAAAGCAATTGGAAGAATGTCAAAAACAATTACAAACTCAAATCAACAAACCACAGACAATTGATGAAACAAACAAGCTCAGATCAACGATAATTGAAAAAGACAGTGAAATACAGAACTTAGGAGAATCCCTTCATTTGCTATCAACAGAAAAAGAAGAAATTCAAATGAAATATGAAAGAAAATTACAAAAAGTGACAACAACTTTACAAAATGAAAAACAAAAGATAACGAAACAGCTGAATGATCAAATTTTGCAGCTAAAGGCACAGTATTCCCAAGAAACAATTAAAATGAAGAACCAAATGAAAGAAGAAAATTTGAAATTAACTCAATTTTTGGACGAAGAAAAACAGAAAAATAAAAATTTGATGAAAATCTTTAATGATCAAAATCCAAGAGAAATTGTTGATGAATATCATTACCTAAAGGATGAAAGTATTGCACAAAGCCAGAAGATTAAAGAAATGTCAGAAGAAAGAGAAGATTTGCAATCAACAATTTTGGACATTCAAAAAACTTTACAAAATACAAAAGTGACACTTTCACAAAAAGAAATCGAAATCAATGACATGAAACTCCAAATGCAGCAGATGACAAGTGTCAATGACTTCAAGGAAGTTGTTTTGGAAAAGCAAGAATTAGAGAAAACACTTGAAGAAAGAGAAAACTTCATAAAAAGTTTACAAAGTCAAATTTCTTCTCAAATTGATGAATGCAAGACAAAACTAAAAGATCAAAACACGAAATTGGTTGAGAACTTAGCTCAAATAAACACAAAATTAGAAGAAAGGGAAACCAAACTCCAAAGATTACAGAGTTGTTTGATTGATGTTGAAAAACAAAATCAAAATCTCAAAGAAAAACTCAGAGTTTCATTGGAAGAGAACGTTAAATTGGGCAGTGAAATAGAAAAACTCAATAAGCAGATGGAGAATACTAATATAGAGATTGAAGTTAATAATGATGCAATACTAGATTTGCATCAAACAATTGATAAATTAACAAAAGAAAAAGAAAATTTGACAAAATTGAATGATGAAAATTTGGCAGAAAAAGAGAAAATGAAAAAGTCTCTTAAAAAGATGGAAAAGAAATATGACAAACTGCAATCATCGATATCACAAAAAGAGATGCAATTAAGTGAATTACAAGATACAATTGAAAAAGTGAAAACCGAAAAATCTTCTCAAATAAATTCATTGATCAAAAAAGTTGAAGAGAAAGAAAACCAAATCAGAGAGACAGAGAACACGCTAAAAGATATGCAGATGAGCCAAACAGTTATTGAACAGAACCATCAAAACGAAAAACAATTGAATGAAAACAAAATTAAAGAATTTGAGAAAAAAGTGTCAAAATTAGAAAAAATTGTTTTCAAATTAAAGGATTATATCAATAATCTACAAATAGAGAAAGAAAAATATGAGAATAAGTTCAAAGAACTGAAGCAAATTGCTAAGAACCAGATGCAAACATCATTAGATTTCCAAAATGAATCGGAGAAAAACAAAGAAAGTCGTTTGACTTCCGAAATGGCTTTTCAAACATTATCAAAGAAATACAATGACTTGCAATCTAAATATAATGAAAGAAATAATGCTATAGATACTCTTTCAAAAGATTTAGAGTTATTAAGAAATCAGGTTTCGGAGAAAAATGTTCAAATTCAAACTTTGAACTCAAAGATAGAAAATCAAGATGAAATGAAGCATGAGATACTTAAATTACAGAATAAACTACAGACATTCATCGAGAGTAATGATAAGAACCAAAAAGAATTAGAAGAAACTAAAAATAAAGTAAACGAAGAAAAAGAAAAAAGTGAAAAATTAAAATTAGAAACAGAATCAAAAGAGAATGATTTGATACAAAAGATTAATGAGCTAAACTTAACAATTGCTTCTTTAACAGAGCAAACAAAGAATCCTCCTGTAGAATTCACCAAGAAAATGACAGAATTGGAGTTAATCAATAAAAAAGTTACTGAAGATTTAACGAAAATCAAAGAAGAAAGTGAGAAACAAAAAAGAGTTTTGAAGAGGGAAAATGATGAATTGAAGTCTATCAATGCGGATTACAAGAAACAAATAATTGATTTATCAAATGACGTTGATTTGAATGGAACTAATTTCGAAAATAAATTGAGTGCAAAAGTCAGAGAAATCCAAGATTTAAAGATGAAAAATGAAAATTTAATGAAAACATTAGAAGATTTAAAGCTTAATTATCAAGAACAGAAAGAGAAATTGGTATCAGAAAACGCAAGTTTAACATCTAAACTTGAAACAAATCAAAATAATTTGAATAGTTTGACAACAAAAGAAAAACAAATTTCTGAAGAAAACAAGAAACTTTTGACTGAAAATGGAGAAATTAAGAATAAAATCACTGTCTTAACTAAACAGAATGAAGAATTAAATGACAATTTATCAAAATCTAAGGAAAGTTTTGATAATTTGAACAACGAATATCAAGAGTATAAAAGAACAAATAACAAACAAATTGATGGATTAAATCACCAGATAAATGACCAGAAAGTCGATATAATGAATCTTTCTAAAGTCATTGAGAAGAAACAAAATAAGATACAAGAGATGAAGGAAGTGATAAATCAAAGCGTAAATATCAAGGATTTCGAAAAACTTAATAAAAAATATTTGGCCGTCAAAAATTTGTATGAAAAATCAGAAAAGAAAGTTTTATCAACAGCAATTGACCAAGGAACAATAAGAGAACAACAGATGTCAGAGTTCTTGTCAAAAATAGAAACCCAACAGAAAGAAATCGATGACTTGAAAGACAAAATCCAAAACAAAGAAGATTTTATTCGAAAATTGCAGAGACAAATTGCAACAGATGGCCAAAAATTGGAAGAAATAACTTCTCAACCTTTCGTTCCTTTGATTGAATTAACTAATTTGAGGCAAGAAATGCGCGAAAAAGAGAAACAACTCAATGAATCACTTGCCAAAATCAAATTTTTGGAAGAAAAGAAAGCAAATGATAAAGCGGATTATGAAGTTGAAAAAGCAAGATTTGACAAAGAAAGGAAATCACTTAAAGAGCTTGTAGATATGATGGCAAAGAAAGTAGACACATTAAATAGTGTTACAACTAAAATGACTGTATTCCATTCAATGTTAACTAATCAAAACACAATGGAACAAAACAGTCAAACAATTCTTGAAATACTGAAAAGTCCTTTGAATGAGTTGTTCTCTCATTTCGGTCTTCAGGAAATAGAAACATTAGGGCGCGTAGTAACATTAACAATAAGTTCTGTGAATGAAGATTTCGATGAAAAACCTTATGTCGATGAAAAAATCTCCAAAAAGATCGACGAAGTACTTACTGTTATTGATAATCTTCTAGTTAAAACAGTGAACTTGAAACCTATTGAAGGGGCTTCACCTTTGTTAAAACTCACTCAGATTTCAGCAAGATTGAAACAAATTTCATCAACAATGGTTGATAGAGATTCATTAATTCAACGAATGTCTAAACTAGTTGAAAGTCAACATCAAGCTGTTGTTAGAATAAGCGAATGTCCAAAAGATGAAACAATTCTCAAACTGTCATCTACAAATCTCGAAGAAAGCAATAAGATTCTGAAAGATATCGCAAAGTGCAAATAATTATTTTGTTATGTTTTTATATTTTTATATATTTTTGTTTATAAATTATTAGAATTGTATTTAAAATGCAAAAAAAAATTATGAGCTATAATATACCTAAGGCTGAATCACTTGTCCTTCATATACAATTCGAATCATTGAATAATATTTGATATATTTTGTTTTTCTACAGATCACAAGAAAATTCCATATTTGTTAGCAGTATTTCTGGATCCAAGATCGATGTAATTGTTCCTACGACATTCAAGAGCAACAAACTCTACATTACATTAAACTTACAAGCAAATAATACGATAAAATCACAAAAAATGTTAATTTATCATACAACGATAGTTTGTACGAATGTATTCATATGAATGAACAAAATCATAATAAAAATTCAAAGTTAAAAATCATAAAATTATTCCGAATATTTTTGAGAATAAGCACATGAGTGTTAAGTAACATATAAATAAAATGTTTCCTTTTGAAATTTAGTATATTTCAAATTGTGATTCAAATTTAGATGATATTTTTGGATTTAAATGTGTTATTTTATACATATAAAATTAAAAATTAACATCTGAACCTTGATGATATTCATTAATGAATTCTTGATAAGAATAGAAAATTAATATTTTTAGTCGCGAAGTATGTTAAAAGTGCAATAAAAGTATATATACATGCACATAATATGTTCATACTCAAAATATTACTTGATCATGTACGTCAATTTTTGTCTTTAGCATTGATATCTGCTCCATTTGAAATAAGAATTTCGGCTGTTTCTTTACAATTATATCTGGCTGCATAATGAAGAGGGGTACATCCAGCTACGTTTTTAGCATTGATATCTGCTCCATTTGAAATAAGAATTTCGGCTGTTTCTTTACTATTATTATTGGCTGCATAATGAAGAGGGGTACATCCATCTTTGTCTTTAGCATTGATATCTGCTCCATTTGAAATAAGAATTTCGGCTGTTTCTTTACTATTATTATTGGCTGCCCAATGAAGAGGGGTACATCCATCTTCGTTTTTAGCATTGATATCTGCTCCATTTGAAATAAGAATTTCGGCTGTTTCTTTACTATTATTATTGGCTGCCCAATGAAGAGGGGTACATCCATCTTCGTTTTTAGCATTGATATCTGCTCCATTTGAAATAAAAATTTCGGCTGTTTCTTTACTATTATATCTGGCTGCCCAATGAAGAGGGGTACATCCAGCTACGTTTTTAGCATTGATATCTGCTCCATTTGAAATAAGAATTTCGGCTGTTTCTTTACTATTATTATTGGCTGCATAATGAAGAGGGGTACATCCATCTTTGTCTTTAGCATTGATATCTGCTCCATTTGAAATAAAATATTCTAAAAGTGATGAAAGATGTAAATTCGGAGAATAAACAAAACATGCGTTGATGTCATTTGTTTGATCCAAGTAAACTAAAAATGATTGACGATTATTGTATTTAGAGCACGATTCTAAATCAATTTCTATGTTGTGTTCATTCATCAAAAATGTTACGAAATCGATATTGTGTGATATTATTGCATATTTCATGCATACATCATCTGGTTTTTGTACTTTCAAGCATTCATTCATAATGTCTTGATTTCCACTCAAAAACGAAAATCTAAGACAATCTGGAGTGATTTCTGATTGAAATTTCGTTATTAAAAACTTAAAACAATCAGCAGATCCATGATAACAACATAATTCAAGTAATGAAATACCTTCATATGAATATGGATATAATTTACTTTTTAATTTTTGATTTTCATCAAATTCTTCTCTTTCTGTAAAAAATATTAATGATATTTTGTCATCATCCATAATAGATCTGTAAATTGTATTTTGTTCGTGAATATCAGATGAATAATGAGAATCTTCAAAATCGTTAAAACTTTTTTCCTCCTTTTCATTCAATACTATGTTGTATTCTTTGTAGAAAAGGTAATTAAAAACTTTGTTGATATTGTTGACCTGATTTAGATGGTATTCGTCAACAATTTGTTTGGCAATCGCTAAATATGACTTCATGTAGCGGTTGTTATAAATTGAAAGTTCGGATATATCATTGATAATCACATCAGGCTGAATTTGATAAGAGTCAATCAGGTTTTGTTTGATTTTTTTGTATATTGCGTTGAATTTTTCTTCGTCATTTGTTTTCAGCCTGTACAAAGTATTGTAGACATCATTATATCCTGCAAAAATCTCCATCAATTTGTCATAATGAGTTTGGTTAGTTTCTCCCTTGGACATCAACCAAAAATTATCAAATATACGATTATTTTTGATTCAGATGCTGTTCGGCATTAGAATTAAAAATAATCATTAGTATAATAATTACACTTTTATTACATTTTTAACAGGCTTCGCGCCTGTATAAAAACGTAATAAAAGTGTAAATTTTACGATATCGTAATTTTACATACAAATTTCAAATTTCGAAAATTTTCAATTTATCAGACAGTAAGGATCCCATTTGGAGAATAATCTTCCTCGATTCTAAAATTCGGTTTGGGTAGATCCCAAACTGCCATATTTTTTATCTCAATATCAGATATAATATCAAATAGAATTAAAGAGTATTATAAAAAGTTGGTAAAAAATTTCGGATATCAAGTAAAATTCATTATTCAAAGTAGAGATATAAAACGATCAAAAATTTAATCAAAAAGAAGTAAGAAAATATAATTGCAACATTATAAATAAAAGAAAAAAAATCACTGAGAAGAGAAGAATCCCCAAACTTCAACTTCATCAGCTTTGAATCTGCTTGTTCCAGCGAGGAATGTCTGTGCCTGTTCAGATCCAAACCTCAGGCCAATTCCAAATGTGTTTTCAATGGTCGAAGCGCATCTATCGAAATCTCCAGCGAGAACTAAGTCATCTCTACCAAAAGAGAAAGTCTCAGGAGTTCCTACCATGTATACAGGGTCCTCTGATTGAGGATGTGCCTGTATGAACGCGTTATTATCGATTGAGAAAAGGAATGAAGAAGTTCCTTCGCCAAAACTACGGCCATCGTTTGTCCACTTCGATGCTGCAAAGCCACCGAAAATTCTATCGTTTGCTTTGACGATAATAACCGAAATTCCTTTTCCATCGACCAATCTGTGCATTTCTTTGATAAAACGGCCATCGTTTGCTGTAGAGAACATAAGATGTGTCTCCGGCATCGCCTTGAATGGGAAGCAGTAGTAAAGCCTCTTTGCTGTCTCTTCATCTGTCAAAATCTTGGAACCTTGGAACGGCTGGAAGTCCAGGGACTTGCCCATCTCTTTGTACTTGGCCTCCTTACGTGTGGCCATCTTCTCTAGAGTGGTGTACTTAGGGTAATGCTCGGTAGATAAGTTTAATGACCCTTCCTTGACATCTGTCTTGTTCTCGACCTCGCGGATGGAGAGAGTGCCAAATACAGCTAAGTCTGCGCGTGCATTTGTCTTCTGTAAGTCGATGGATGTTTCGATATCTTTATCAAGGACTTCGTTGCGATGATAGGCTTGTAAGAAAGGTACTGGCTGTCCATTGGAGTAATATTCAAGAAGAAGAGAACGTTCTGCTTTGAATTGATTGTATTTGCGTTGTAATTCGGAAATTGCGGATTTTGTTTCGACAATACGCTCTCCAGCTTCTTGCTTAGCTTCGGCGATAGCTGCTGCAGCAATGCGATTGATTTCGTCGATGACTTTTGCAAGGTTATCCTTGATATCAAGAACATTTTGCTCGGCATCGAGAATAGCCTTTGTAAGAGCTTTTTCACGTGCTGCACGTATCTGCGATGGTGTCTGGACTAATTCGCTGTACTTCTTGTAAGCTTCTGCGATTGGAATAAGTTTATGTTTCACAGCTGGTCCTTTTGAGTGGTTTCCGCTCACCTTGCACTCCATGCAGACTGGAAGAGCGCATTTTTCACAGTAATACTGTACTTTTTGATCTGGATGTTCCGGACACTGCTGATAGCTTGGCAGGGCTTCTCCGAGTGGCTTGCGCTCGTGTTTCTTGAGAACGTCTGAAGCGTTGTGGACCTTTGCATCGCACTTCGGGCAAAGTTTCATTTCATCATTTACGCAGAAGAAAAGAGCCATTTCCTTGTGGCAAGAATCACACACGAAGCCATCGAGCTCCTTCTGCTTGATGTTTTCACCGCCCTTGATCGTAAGAATGTGGATGGCGTTGACTTGGCGATAATTAAAAACTACGAAGTCGTCGTTGTCTGAAAGTCTGAGGCTCTGGTAGCCCTCTGGGAGCTTGTCCTGGTTTACTGTGTCTGCTGGTTCGTACTTGGATTCCTCAAGACTTCTGACTGGATTCATATAATTGTGAACTTTGCCGAGAGCAACTTGGCAATGAACGAGTGTGTATTGTTCCTGGTTCGCTGGTAATTTTATTGATGATGTAGTGATTTTGAGTCCGTTTTTAGGGAATTTTATGCCATTTAACGTAATATCTCTGACAGTCTGGCCAAGAGTAGAAAGCTCGAAGAATACATCGACAATATTTGAATTTTCTAAGTTCTTAGCGAAGTTTCCAAAAACATTTTCTTGTGTGGCAAGAGAACATCGCGTCATTGAGCTGATAACACACTGTGGTGCTTTGAGCTGAATGCGAAGAAGGTGTTCAACTATGCCAAACTCGTCTCCAAAGCAAGATACAGAATTTGCTGCTGACATCGAATTGAATGCGACGGTTTCTCAGAACTCCGGCGTTAGACGATAAACAATTTTCCTTACATCCATTAGACTAAATATGTTAAAAAATATCCTGTTAGATTAAGCACATTATTTGTGAGTAATTAAAAATTGGAAATAAATGTTTTTAATTTATTTATGTTAGGGCCTGACCCTGCGAAAAAGTATCATTGTAAAATATCATGTGAATGCTTCCTTTAAGATCTCTTTGAATAGTTCTAGTCTTATACATGGGCAAATGGCGGGAAAAGTGACAACCTAAATTTGTAGTGGCGGGGATGACACTTTTTGTTGTCTAGTTGAGTATAAGAAATCCCACTAATAGATGACAAATATAATGCATTTCCCTATCATATGGAAGTTAGATGAACTTTTGTTCAAAATGAGTTGTGAAATATGCAACGAAAAAGAATTTCAAATTCAATTTCAATCATGAACAGTTCTTTACTTTGTGAAAACAACAAGATACCAAATACTAAAGGAGTACAGCATTATCCCTACATTGTGCTTGCAATAATCCAAACAAAATAATAATCAGCTTATTTTCTACCCGAACATAGAAAGAAATATGATGTAATCGAACTCAAATACAAATGAAAGCTCCTCAAGTTACTTTCGAGTACTCATAAGGCTTATAAATCTTTTCTAATTGATGAAAAATAAAATTTTGATTTATTTTTGATATCTATCTAGTTTTTGTAAGTCAGATACCCCCAATTTAGTTATGTTTATAGTTACTATAGAGAAATTTCTAAGATAATACAATTCGATATTGATAAATAATTAGCGCTCATATATTAATGATAGGTTTGGCTAGATTCTACATAAATACGATAAATCATGAATTGTAGCTAATCTTTTGATGGAAATGTGAATTTGATAGAAAAATCGAAAGTTTGTTCAAAGTGGTCAACGACCGCCATTTGGCGGAGCCTATCCTCCAATGATATATCGAAGTAGAAGCCCAATAGAATATTTTTATTGCATTAAAAGACTCTTCTTTGAAGGTGGCGTCGCCACCCTATTCAAATTCTGAAATTTTGAATAGTTTATATTACCCTAATTGAGAGCCCGCCAGTGGCGGGCGGCGGAGAAAAAAAATAAGAGTGGTTTTTTAGAAAAAATTTAAAAACAGAAATTCCTTTAGAAATAGAATCAACTTTAATAATAAAGTATAGTTTCTCGTTTAATATCATGATGAAATGATAGTAAACTATTCAAAATAGGGATGCGACGGTTTTACGCCATGACCGTTTAAAAATAGAATAATACGCCATTTTTGGGGTCGAATGGCGGGTACGAAGTACCCGCCATTCGGCCGAAAGACAAAACAATATAAAATTATCGCCGCCCCCTTTTTTTCTTTCTCTTTTTTTCCCCTCTTTCTCTTTTTCACTCATTAAAAGTAGTAAGAGAAAAAAATAATATTAATTTTTAAAATTTTTATAAAAATAAAAGAAAGTACTATAAGAAATTATTTAGAGATTTATATGCAAAGTGTTAAGAATAATCTGAGGATGTTATAGACCGAAAATAGATTTTTTCGGTTTTCTCTTCAAATAATTGAAAGAATGATACTATTATAGGTTTATTATATTATATAGCATATAATCATGCTATAGCCGAAAATTATAAGTTTTGAGAAGATTGAATATAACACAAATAAATTTGAATGTAAGTTAAATTGCTTGTTGTTTTTAATAGCTATTTAATGAGAAATCCAATATTGCAAAATTCAAATTGAATGATTGAAAGAACAGAAAAAGTCATTCTTTTCAATTTCGAATGTGTTTCATTGTATTTATAATTATATGGCAAATAAGATATTTAAATTTGATTTTTGAAGGAAAATTCACAAAATTGAATAAATTCAAATAATTTTTATTCAAAAATAAACTAGTTATTTGAGTTTAATACTAATTATCTATTCAAACTACAAAGTTTGTAATTTAAAATATTTTGTGAGATCAGATTGAATTAATTCAAGGTTCTTTTCAATTAATATAAATGACCATATTACGCATTTTCGAACATTCTAAACCAAATATATAAAAATGGGAGACGAATGTTAAATTTGCTACACATGGGGGAGTTGTCTGCAAAGTTTTAGCTCTTATCTCTAACAAAAAATTAATTTTTAAAAAAATGACCGAATACGTTTCACAGCGAGAAAAAAATAAAAGGCAAGATAGAATTTTCTAGACATAAAGAAGTTGTTTACCGAGTTTTAGCTCTTATCTCTAACAAAAAATTAATTTTTAAAAAAATGACCGAATACGTTTCACAGCGAGAAAAAAATAAAAGGCAAGATAGAATTTTCTAGACATAAAGAAGTTGTTTACCGAGTTTTAGCTCTTATCTCTAACAAAAAATTAATTTTTAAAAAAATGACCGAATACGTTTCACAGCGAGAAAAAAATAAAAGGCAAGATAGAATTTTCTAGACATAAAGAAGTTGTTTACCGAGTTTTAGCTCTTATCTCTAACAAAAAATTAATTTTTAAAAAATGACCGAATACGTTTCACAGCGAGAAAAAAATAAAAGGCAAGATAGAATTTTCTAGACATAAAGAAGTTGTTTACCGAGTTTTAGCTCTTATCTCTAACAAAAAATTAATTTTTAAAAAAATGACCGAATACGTTTCACAGCGAGAAAAAAATAAAAGGCAAGATAGAATTTTCTAGACATAAAGAAGTTGTTTACCGAGTTTTAGCTCTTATCTCTAACAAAAAATTAATTTTTAAAAAAATGACCGAATACGTTTCACAGCGAGAAAAAAATAAAAGGCAAGATAGAATTTTCTAGACATAAAGAAGTTGTCTACCAATTGTCAGCTGTTACTTCTTCTCAAAACTGATATAAAATAAAAATCTTTATTATTTATTTAACCTTTATTGTTTCATTAAACTTCATTTATTTTATATTATAGTTTTATTCTTTTAGCTACTTGTAAAATAATCTAATTTTATATCATCATTTTTACCGGATTATTCTTCAGTACATCGATTGTGTATCTAAAATAATATCATTATCCTTATTCTGTTTTTTCCAAAATTCTTTAAATATCTTATTTGGTTAGATTACTTTATACTTTTTACTTTTATTTTTTAATTTCAAAAAAAATTTGGTGATTGTTCTATTCTGTTACAATGTGCATTATCATATTCTAATGAATTATTCATTACATACATTTAAAAAACTTGTTAAAAATGAAATTAAAAAATTATGTTTATTATTACGCTGTGAATCTGTCAACAGCGGTCATGCCTGTATCTGTATCCCATATTTGCCACAACCTTTCTGTATCTGCATTTGTGTATTTCGGTTTCAGCTGATACATTTGATTTGGCGTGTAATTTGTTCCAGTTAATGGATTAATTGGAGATCTTCATGCGGTGTGTTATTATTATACTCCCAAATAAAGGCGGGAATAGCCTGAATGCTTTGGCAGCGCTCCAATTTCGGCCAGAATCTCTCAATCTTCCCATTTTGGTAGGGAGAATGAGAGTCTGTATGCCGCCATTGGACGCCTCAAAGATCAAGTAGATCTTGAAAGGTGCTCCTATTTTCTGAACGGTTGTCGGTCCAGAAACAATAAGGGGCGCCAAATTCAATGAAGGCGGAAGCCGCAACGTTCGCTGTCGTCGCTGCCAGCATATCTGGTATTTGTATACACGCTAGGACTTTGCGGCTAAAATCGTCGATTATGCCATAAATATACTGGCCACGAACACCCCTAAAATAATGAACATCTGCGTGCCAGATAAGATTGGGTGAAAGCGCCCAATATCTTACTGCTGTTTCTGGCCCGGCATGCTCTAATCGCGTCTTGGTGAAATGATTTTCTTTGAAGTATCTGCGTACTTCTCTATAAGATACATCAATTTGTTGTAATTTCAAACGTTTCCATTGTTTTGTTTGACCACAGGGAAAGGCCCAGTGGTCATGTATCACAGCAAGAGCTTTGATTTGGTCGTAGGGATTGACCCTACGACCTTTCTTGCCTTTAGGCAATGGGATATTCTGTAAGCTAAATTGATTTTGTAAAAAAGATTTTGAAACATCTAAATATTTGAAATCATTTGATTGAAGGGTTGGGGCGATGGGAACATGGGTGCAAGCTTCTTCCCATGTCATTTTACCTTCTTCAATCTGATTGGAAATACCAATTAGGTAAATTCGATCGACATACCCTTTGTAAGGATTCATTCTAATGAAGTACGTTAACAATCAAAATATTCTATAAGTGTCTAGTATGGAATTCAAAAGAATAAAGAAAATGGTAAGGTAAATAAACGTATTACGAAATAATTTATAATTAAAATGAAAAAAAGAAAAAATAATAAGTAAATTGACTGGAAATGAAAATGAAAATCAGTGTACAGTTTTATTTTTTTCTCGCTGTGAAACGTATTCGGTCATTTTTTTAAAAATTAATTTTTTGTTAGAGATAAGAGCTAAAACTCGGTAAACAACTTCTTTATGTCTAGAAAATTCTATCTTGCCTTTTATTTTTTTCTCGCTGTGAAACGTATTCGGTCATTTTTTTAAAAATTAATTTTTTGTTAGAGATAAGAGCTAAAACTCGGTAAACAACTTCTTTATGTCTAGAAAATTCTATCTTGCCTTTTATTTTTTTCTCGCTGTGAAACGTATTCGGTCATTTTTTTAAAAATTAATTTTTTGTTAGAGATAAGAGCTAAAACTTTGCAGACAACTCCCCATGTGTAGCAAATTTAACATTCGTCTCCCATTTTTATATATTTGGTTTAGAATGTTCGAAAATGCGTAATATGGTCATTTATATTAATTGAAAAGAACCTTGAATTAATTCAATCTGATCTCACAAAATATTTTAAATTACAAACTTTGTAGTTTGAATAGATAATTAGTATTAAACTCAAATAACTAGTTTATTTTTGAATAAAAATTATTTGAATTTATTCAATTTTGTGAATTTTCCTTCAAAAATCAAATTTAA